AAATTATTTAAAAATATCATCTCATCACATCTTATTTTTAAGATTTTATATTTTATTTTATCATTAGTCTTTAATACAAAGTTAGTATATACATTTGAGCAATTTTTTAAAACATATTTTTAGTCTCTTTACTTATTATGCTATCAAAGTAGTTCAATAAAAAGTTAACACATGACAATTTTTTAATAATGTATGTTAACAGGAAGAACTAAAAAAAACAACAATATAAAGACCGAAATTAAAGAAAAAAAACTCAAGTATATAAACCATTCTCATAATTAAGCTTTTATCACTGTTTGGTATGATTGATTACCTTACTTTACCATTATCTATTAGGATTGATTATCAATCATGTTTTCTTGTGACAGTATGTTTTCTTAATTAGAGAGACTCTTGTTACTAATATAAACAATGGTTAATGCTTTAGATTTTATGAACATTAAGAAGATCTCAATGAATTTTGGTACATTTTAGTAAATACCAAATCTATTTTATCACTTTTCCTCCTTTTATGCCTAAAATACTACAACTTTATCAGAAACGAAATTTAAAAAAATATTGAAAATTTATGTTTAATTATTTGACCAATATTTTTGGGTAATTAAGTGACAGGATAATAAATTATACGCTTGGCTGGTACCATTTTAAACTTATTTGGATTGTTATTGTACTTACATTGATTGATCTAACAAAGCTTTATGGCAGGATGTTGAATTTATAAGTTTTATATAAATTTATGCTAATTTTTATGATTGAGGTGATATTTGAATCTCTATAAGCTAGATAAAAACATAGAAATAAAATAAATTAGATAAAAATAAATTATTTTTTGTTTATATTTTTTAAAATATTGTTCATGAAATAAATGATACAAAATATTAAATAAATACTGAATTATTTATTTTTTAACTTAAATATATTTTTAGTTTCTATTTTAATAATTTTTGAGTTTTAGTTCCTCCAAATAAATTAATTTTTATATTTTAACTATTTATTATTTTTAATATCTCTTGTCAACGAGGTGTAAAATAAAACTAATATTTAACAGTCTTTTAAATGAGTGTATCGATAAATCAGAAGTAAAAATAAAATTTATAAAAATATAAAGATTAAAAAAAATTTCATTTGAAAGAGTTAAAATAAAAATTTGGTTAAAATATTTGTTTACGGTGAAAAATGATAATTTATAAACAAATAATCAAAAAGCAATCTGGGGACTGGATTTAGATCGTCTTTGAGTTCTTATAAGTGTGTTGTGATTAAATAGATGTCGTAAAACGAATTGTTAAATATGAATAATATAAGGCTAAATTACAACATAGAGGTTTTTACAATAATGTGCTAAAACAAAAACTAAATTGCAGAAAATAAATAAGCAAAAGGAACTGAATTTAAAATGCAAAAAAGTAAATGTGCAAGTAAATAAACGTACGACTCCTCATGAACAACGGACACAGTGAGTCTCTTGGTAGCTGGTGTCTGGCGCGGTGCAGGGTTTTAGCGTTCAAAGAATTTAAATGCGGTATCTAGGTGCAAAAAGTCGTCATCTGAAAAATGAAGCTTTAGAGTATTTATAGGTAGGAGGATCATCGTCGTCCTTCTTCTTTAGTGAGCACTTCTTAGTAACTGCCTTCAACTGCTAATACTCATTATCTACAATTGCTTGTGATCGTGCTATTGGTTGAGACTTCTTCTATAACTGCTATCACCCATGATCTCTCTTTGTATTGTTAAACCTTTGTCTGATGGTAACTATTGGTAACCGTTTCTAAGCCATGTAATAACTTTTAAGTCCTATCATAACTCTTATTGACTCAAAATTTTCTTCTTTTTTTTTTTCTATTTTTCGAACAGTTATGAGAGAAATCTAAAAAGTTCATTTAGTATTATAGACTTAAAATAATTTATCTCTTGATTTCTATTTTTTGATTAATTCTAGAAAATTTGAGAACTCTTTTTGTTCTCGTGCACTTAGAATATTTCCTCTACTCATTCTTATTTTTTGAGCAATTCTGGAAGAAATATGGAGTTCAACCAGGTTTGTAAACTTAGAATATTTTCTTACCACTTCTTAGTTTTCAATCAATTCTGGAGGGAATCAGAAGCTTAACCAGGTGTGTGGACTTAGAATATTTTCTAACCAGCTCATGTTTTTCGAGTAATTCTGAAGGAAATCTGGAGCTCAAAAACTTTCAATCGTGTGGACTTATAATATTTTCTTGTTATTCTTATTTTTCAAGCAGTTTTGGGTGTATGGACTTGAAACTCCTCAAAACATCTCGAAAAAACTTTCAATTTCGTGGACTTTGAGTAATTTCTTACCAGTCTTGTTTTTGAGCAGTTTTGGCTATTATCAATCCAGAAACTATAAAATCCTCAGAAACTCCTCGAAGTGTAGTTTTTTCAGTATAGAAAAAAACTACTTTCTTTAGACCCTCAAAACTCCTCGAAGAGTCAATATGGTTTTATAACTTAACAAATTTTTCTTACCTATATATATATATATATATATATATATATATCACTTGTGAATTAATTGACAAAAAATTATTATTTTCCAATAAATAATATCTCTAGTCTTAAAAATTATTAAATATTCCTTAATTAATATTTTTTAAAACATTTGTCATTGAAAATAATTTTTAGATAACGAATAAAATACAATGACTCCAAAGTTTTTTGAAAAATAGATCAAACAACCCTAATTTTTTTGCATTGTGTTTTTTTTTTCTTTATTAACCATAAGATAATAGTTAATAAATGAAGTGTAGGAATTGTTCAACAAACTACTGCTTGATTTAGAATAAACAGATAAATAGACTAGCAATTCACTAATCAATCAACCACTTTATTAACTAATAATTGAGGCCCAGTTAATTTACTTAAAGCTAATGGAAATAGTTAGGTGAAAAAAATATCAATTAATATCGAAGAAAAAAAAATTAATTCATATGTTTCACTATTAACGATACATAATTTTTTTTTTTATCTTTACACCAAAATTTACTTTTTTCTCCATTAAATATCAACTATTTCACTTCTACATATCAAACGTGTGTATATTATTTTGATTTTTGTAGCAACTTATTTTTTGAATAGTCCAATTTATCTTAAAATGTATTGTATCTTTTTTACGTTGTCGTGATATTTAGTCAAATTATCTTTTATTTAACCTTTTCTTTATTAAATGTGAGTTTCACTAATTACTGTTTGAATGACATTAGATAAGAATAATTCAATATATTAAATACTTCTGGGAATTATTTTTTAATAATTTTTTTAATTTTTATTTCTTTGATCAATATTTTTACAACAAAAGAAAATTAATTCCTCAAGAAAATGTTTTTTTTTTGTCTTCTAGAAATGCAACACTTAATTGTGTATATATTTTTTCTTTTTACTTTGTTTTTTATGATAAAGAATATTTAATTGTCAGGTTAAGTTTATCAACCATCAAAAGAAGATGACTGAAATTTTATTTCCTTAAAACTCCTGTTAACATTCTTTAAAAAGAATATTGCACGAGAATATAGTCTACTGTCTCTTTATTATATGTTTTGATAAAATTAAATTTAAATCGTTAAAAATATTTAGATATATGTTTAAACTAACATGAATCATATATTTTATATTCACATTATATATATATATATATATATATATATATATATTGAAAAAAATATCTTTATTATTGAATATTTAGATCAATTGGCAGGTTGTTTCAACAGAGTTTTATTTCTAATAAAATTTTATTTTTAATGAAAGCTAAACAGAACCTCAATATTTTAATATAGTTTTATTTGAAAATTAATATTTATATATGTTACTTATTTTTAATTTGAAACATTTTTCAAATATATTATAGAAGTTCTTTGCATATTAAAACTTTTTGAGTAAGTCTTTTAAATAATGCACAAAATAATTAGATGTATTTTTTATTATTTATTTATATACTAATTGTAATTTATGTAAAACTTAAGAAAACTTTAGGCTAGAATGCAAATATAAAAGTAATCAATAATTAATTGATTTACATAATGTGTGTTCGATTTATCTTAAGTAAAGTTTTAAACTTTTATTTTTATGTATAAAAAAATTATTTACAGAATTTAGTTCAGCATATTAAAGATATTAAAACCCACTCCAAATCTTTTAAAATTGCTAGACTGATTTAAAAAAATTGGAAAATAATTATATCATTAACTAAAAAAACACTGAAAAATATTTTTTTATCGGTTCTAATTATGTTTAAAATCAAATTAAGCGAGAGTGGAAACTGAACCAGTTGTACTTTCCCTATTCTGCCCTCAAGTAAAACCAAATAACCATCACTTATAATTAATGAAAATGCTAAAAGATGGTCGAAGCTTTTAAATAGTTTAAATGCTAAAAGATCAAAATCTTATCGTTACTAAAAACAAGGAAACTCGGACCACCCTTATAATCAAGCACTTTTGTATATTTAGCTGATATAGAAAATAAATTAATCACTAAAGTAGTTAGTTACTAAAAAAAAAAACAAAAAACTACAAGACCAAAGGAAATAAAAAGAAAGAAAAACAGATAAACTTATTTTATTTAAAAAACGTTTATGTGTTAATACAATATTTTTACATAGCAATAATAAAATAAAAATTTGTAATATAATATAAATTACTTTAATTAGATTAAAATAGATCTAATTTAATATTATATTCACATTAATTTTAAACAAATTATATTTTATTCTTATGTTTAGATCAGATAACCTTCTACTGCAAAATCCATCTAAATTAAACTAGAAATACCTCAATACCACATTATAAATATTTTTTAGTCAAATAAAAATACTTATTATAAAAAAAATACTTCCAATAATAATAATAATAATGTTACGCAAAAGAAAGTAAAATAGTTGTTAAAGTAAGATGTGGAGAGTATCTGCCACGTCGCGAACCACGTAGACGAGGGTGCCATCAACCCCCAGCTTGCCCAAAAATATGTTGTCTGTATGCAGTTGCAGAGAGAGAGAGAGAGAGAGAGAGAGAGAGAGAAGAAAGAGAGAGAGAGAGAGAAGAAAGAGAGAGAAAGAGAGAGACGGGTCTAAGTTCTAAGGAGTATTCTCCTTTTCAGTCCACTACGCTTCCTTCACCCATCTCCGTTACCCCCATTCTCCTTCCACATTCTCCATTCTCCTTCCTCTTTTCAATTTCCTCTTAACAAAAAGACACACATAAAAAAGGTTTACCTTTTTCTGCATTTCATTTCATACACGTCGTACTTCTACTTCACTTCAATTTTTCCTTCTAACGTTTATCTTTTTAATTTGGATTTTTTAAAAAATATTTATGTTTCCCCTTCCCTTTTTGGAATTAAAATTCTTTGACTATTGTTATTGTTGAATTCAGCTTTCCATTGGATCACGTCACCCACTATTGCTCTTGCTATCTCCTCCCTCTGAATTGACCATTTTTGGGTTCCACTCGTCTCTGATCGAATTGGGTATTTGCAAGATCTGCGGCACCATTTGTTTGGGGCAAAAAGTTTTGATCTTGGTGGTGGACCAACCCAATTACCGGTTTGGATCCGATCGGGGTAGAAACAGCGCCATCAGATGGCGCTGTTCAGAAGGTTCTTCTACCGGAAGCCGCCGGATCGGCTTCTGGAGATTTCCGAGAGAGTTTATGGTTCGTTTCCTTTTCGTTTTCTTCTCTTTTTTACTTTTTCGTAATTTTTGTTTTTTTTATTAATTATTATTCCTCTCTGCCTAATTATTCAGCTCATGAATGCATGGGAAGCATTACTTTTTCGACTCTATGCAAGTTAAGGGGCAGCTGATTTTGTAGCTTTTAATGTTTAGAAGCTAAATTAGTAACCTTTAATTAATACCATTTTGAAATAATGTTTATGGTAATGTGCTAGAAGAACAATGTGGACCTCTCTTTTCAACTTAAAACCTTTTTGTTTTCCTCTTTTGCTTTCTTGTAGACATTAATTACTCTTGAGAATCGTAGCGGAAAGATATAGCAGTATCTGAGTCACGGTGGTTATTTATCAATTACGACTAGGATTGCTAGTTAAGATGATGAGTTCTGGAAGAATTTTTTAAACTGAGGGTGTTGAGTATTGTCCTTTAAGACATTATATTTTATGGCTTGCAACAGTTACCTGTTTTTTTTACATTGGCAGAATGAAACGGTCTTCTGTGTTCATTCTTAATTGTCTAGGCTTGATCTTTGTTATGCTTCTGTCTAACAAATTCATTTCTTCTTTCCTCAGTGTTGTTGGTTTTTCTAACTTCTTAAAAATGAAAATATGGATTTTGAAGTTAAGTTATCTGATTTTTGCAGTTTTTGATTGTTGCTTCTCCACGGATGTCTTGGAAGAAGATGAGTACAGAGTTTATATGGGGGGAATTGTGGCTCAGCTACAGGACCACTTTCCAGATGCTTCTTTCATGGTATTCAACTTCAGAGAAGGGGAGAGACGCAGCCATATCTCAGACATACTTTCTCAGTATGACATGACAGTTATGGAGTACCCTCGGCAATATGAGGGTTGTCCCCTTCTGCCTTTAGAGATGATCCATCACTTCCTTCGATCAAGTGAAAGCTGGTTGTCTTTGGAGGGGCAACAGAATGTGCTTTTGATGCACTGTGAAAGGGGAGGTTGGCCTGTACTGGCATTTATGCTAGCCGGTCTTCTATTATACCGGAAACAGTACAGTGGGGAGCAGAAGACTCTTGAAATGGTCTACAAGCAAGCTCCCAGAGAACTACTGCACCTTTTATCTCCTGTGAACCCACAGCCTTCTCAGTTCAGATATCTTCAGTATATTTCCAGAAGGCATTTGGGTTCTGAGTGGCCACCATCAGAAACACCCCTATATTTGGATTGTCTGATTCTTAGAGTCCTTCCATTATTTGATGATGGAAAAGGTTGCAGGCCTGTTGTACGCGTTTATGGTCAGGACCCTTCAATTCCTGCCAATAGAAGTTCAAAGCTTCTTTTTTCAACCTCAAAATCTGAAAAGCATGTTCGCCACTACATACAGGTGCCATATAAATTTCCACTATTGATGCTGAATTGTGAATTAATTAGATAGATTGTCCTCTTATTAAATTTTAATCGCAGGCAGAGTGTATGCTCGTGAAAATTGATATCCATTGTCGTGTTCAAGGGGATGTGGTTCTTGAGTGCATACATTTAAGTGAAGATTTTATTCAGGAAGATGTGATGTTTAGAGTAATGTTCCATACTGCATTTGTGCGGTCAAATATTTTGGCACTGAACCGTGATGAAATTGATATTTTGTGGGATGCAAAGGATCAATTTCCCAGGGACTTCAAAGCAGAGGTAAGTTATTGTTATTCTTCTGCAAAAAGCCATTTTCTGGAGCAGTAGGAGTTGAACACATACTCATATCTGTATCAGGTGCTTTTTTTGGACGCTGATGCTGTTATACCTGATCTAACCACAGTCATGGTGAGTGAAGATGCAAATGAGACTGAAAGTGCCGAGACAGAAAGTGCTACACCTGAGGAATTCTATGAAGTGGAAGAGATTTTCAGCAATGTAATTGATGCACAGGAAGGTAAGACAGACTATGATTCTCATGCTTTTGCTGACAATACAGTGGATGATGAAAATCATAAAGAGGTCTGGAGGGAAGACTTGGATCCTCCTACTTTTCAGGATTGTCCACCAGATGATGGGATTCCCAAGCAGGTTGGCAAGATGGATTCTGGTATTAATGCAGTGAAAGACATCTCTATTGATGATGTGAACTACAAATTCAATGAGAGCATGGATTCAGATCCTCAAGCAGTGAAGGACATTGCTGTGGATGATGGAGAAATTAAGCTAACTTCTGCTACATTTGCTTCTGATATGGTTAAGCCTCCGGAAACAAAGGAAGTCACCATGGATGTGCACCAAGAATCAGCAGTTATGCAAAATGAATATGATGAAAATAAGGAAGCAACAGAAAAGGAATTGGACTCCAAGGCTGGGCAGCCGATGTCTGATTTGTCCAAACAAAAATCTGGTAAACTACTTCCATCTACTGCCAAGAAACAACTTCCATCTAACTCTAAGCCAGTTGGAGACACAATTGCAGCAAAACAAAAGATTAAACAGCCTGAAACCCATGGTTTTCAGGCAAAACAAGCTAAGTCAAATGCAGTAACTAGGTGGATTCCATCTAACAAGGGTTCTTACACAAATTCAATGCATGTCTATTATCCACCATCAAGGAATAATAGTGCACCAGCTGCCCTGTCAAATTTCACCACCCCAAAGGAAAAAATGGAAGATGCCAGAGCAAGATCTTTATCAGCTCCTGTTGTCTCTGCAGCAGCTGTTTCTATTGACAAGGCAAATGACCTAAAAAGTCGTAAGATGGCCACTTCAAAATCTTCTGGCTACCTAGAAGCAGAAATAGATGCGAAATGTGCACCATCACCATTGCCATCAATTGAAGAGACATCTTTTCAGTCAGATAGTCAAGCAGAACAACAGAACTCAGAGCACATGCTACAGCCTCCCCCACCGCCTCCTCCTCCCCCTCCCCCTCCCCCTCCGCCTCCATTTCATAGTAGAAAATCTTCTTCACATGTTTTTGAATCCTTATCATTACAGGAAGATGTATCCGCTCAAGACTCTCCATCTCTATTAGAATCACCATCTTCTTTGGGTGGAAAAGGACCAACACCGCCGCCACCACCACCACCACCATTGCCACCTTCAACTGTAACATCGTTTACTAGACAAAAACCAATTGTAAATTTACAGCATGCAACTTCTCTTCCATCCCCTCCACCTCCACCTCCGCCCCCGTCTCCACCCCCATTTTTTGGGATAAATAAAGGGAGCTTAGTGCCTTCTTCACCCCCTTGGAAGTCTGTGGCTTCATCATTTGTTGCAGAGACCAGTGGATCTTTACTACTTCCTACACCCACACTTCCTTTTACAAGCACTGAAATTACATCAGAAGTTTCTGAAGTGCTTACACCATCACAGACACCACCTCCTCCACCACCACCACCACCACCTCAATTGGCTCCTCCAAGGTATGAAGTTTCATACAGTCCTCCTCTGCCACCATCAACAGCCCCTATAAAGCATGTCATTTCATCAATTCCTCCTCCTCTTTCCCCATTTCCCATAGCTTCAACACATGGGGCTCCACCCCCTCCTCCCCCATTGCCCCAATTTGCATCACATAAAGCTCCACCAGCACCCCTACCTCCGCCTCCCCCTCCCTCCCTACAACCCTTAGCTAATTCACATATTGGTTCACCTACACCACCTGCACCTCCACCCCCACCTCCTTTTGGTAGATCTCCACCACCACCACCCCCACCCCCACCTCCTTCAAGTAAAGCACCGCCCCCACCACCTCCGTTTAGTAAAGCTCCACCTCCGCCACCTCCACCTTCACCTCCACCTCCACCTCCTTTTAGTAAAGCTCCCCCCCACCACCTCCTGCTCCATTGCATGGAACTCCACCTACACCTACACCTCCCCCAGCACCACCACTTCCTCCATCATGTGGAGCCCTAATTCCACCTCCACCTCCACCAATATCGAGAGCCCCACCTCCTCCAATGGGTGGAGCACCACCACCACCTCCACCTCCACTTCCTCCTCTTCCAATGGGTGGAGCACCACCACCACCTCCTCCTCCTCTAATGGGTGGAGCACCACCTCCTCCACCACTACCTGGTGGTCGAGGACCACCACCACCGCCTCCTCCTCCAATGGGGGGAGCACCACCTCCTCCACCACTATCAGGAGGTCGAGGACCACCACCTCCCCCACCTCCTCCAATGGGTGGAGCACCACCTCCTCCTCCTCCTCCTCATGGTGGTCGAGGACCACCACCTCCACCACCTCCTCCAGTGGGTGGAGCACCACCTCCTCCTCCACCTCCTGGTGGTCGAGGACCACCTCCTCCACCTCCCCCTGGTGTTCCTGGTGCTCCTCCTCCTCCTGGTGGTGCACCTCCACCACCTCCACCTTTAGGTTCCAAAGGAGCAAATGTTGGAGCTGATCCAAGAGGGAGGGGGCGTGGTTATGCACGTCCAGGAGGAGCTGGTGCAATGGCACCCCGGCGATCCTCATTAAAGCCTTTGCATTGGAGTAAGGTTACAAGGGCATTGCAAGGAAGTTTATGGGAAGAATTACAAAGACATGGAGAACCTCAAATGTAATGGTCTTGTCTACTACTGCATGTGTTTGTGTAAAACATTTCAATTTTGTATAATTGTAATGTTGTCCTTTATGTTATCTATATCCATATATTTTGTAACAACTGTTTTTATGTCTCAGTGCACAAGAGTTTGATGTTTCAGAGATAGAGAAGCTTTTCTCTGCAAATGTTCCAAAACCTGCTGATTCAGGTGGAAAATCTGGAGGCCGGCGCAAGTCTGCTGGATCTAAAACTGACAAAGTCCACATGGTATTATTCTATGTGAATATTCTTAAAATTTGATTTTTGATATAAGCCATATGTGAGAGATGATTTCATGTCATCTCACCTAGAAATATAATTCACCTTGATTTGCAGTTTTACTTCAGAAAGGCTGCTAAGGTTCACCACACATCATTTTTAAATTGGAATTTAATGCTGTTGATTTTTATACTTTGTGATTTGTTCATTAAATAAGTCATCTCATTGTGACTTAGCTGGCATGATCAAATACTTGTGGAGGAAGTGTACTTTTCCTTAGTTTTATTATTTCAATAAAATATTCAGCACACCTTGATACATAAAACATTAGGTATTTTTAACAGTACTGATTACATCAACAGAAATTATTGTTCTGTTATTGTCCTTTAGTTTATTGTCTCTTTTGTGTTCCATAAATTAAAGTTCTGATGCTGTAAATTAATGAATTATAAAGTGATATTGGTGCACCTTTTTTGCCTGCTAGTGCTTAAAGCCAATATTTGTTAGATACTTGTTGACTTGATATTATTTGATACTTCCATGGTACCTGATCAACAACTTGTGTATTTGTATTGTTGATTGTAGATTGACCTAAGGAGGGCTAATAATACTGAAATTATGCTCACTAAGGTTAAGATGCCACTTCCTGATATGATGGTAAGCTGATACTTTGGTTTGAACATTTTTGAATTCTGCATGAGTAATTATGTAAATTATTTATAATGAAAAGAGTTATTCTTTTACAAGAAACATAACACTGAAAATTATTATTTTTGTTTGCATGGAAAGTGGTTCTTAAAAATAACTTGTATGTGTAGAATTGCGAATAGTTAATACTGAAAGAAGCTGATAGTAGATAAACATCATTTTGCACTCCATATGTGCTACAAACTTTTTCTAACTTCTGAAATTTCAGTCTGTAACTATCAGTGGTGAATTTTATCTTTTCTAACAAATTGAAACAAATATTCCCAGGCTGCAGTACTGGCTATGGATGAGTCGGTATTAGATGTTGATCAGGTGGAAAATCTCATTAAGTTTTGTCCTACTAAAGAGGAGATGGAACTTTTGAAGGTGAAATTTAACAAATTTGTCCATACTTTCATCTTATTTTAACAATTTTAAGGCTTCTAGTTTCTGACATCTTCTTTTACACTAACTAATTTTGATTTCTCTTGTTTATGGTTGTTTAGGGATACACCGGTGACAAAGAGAATTTGGGGAAGTGTGAACAGGTGTGCATTAATTTATTTTAGTCATAGCATTAGAGATGGTAGTTATTAACAGATAAGTATTAGCAATATAATTATATTGGATGCCTTTTATGGCTTATCCATATCTGATTCATGCATTGGTGGCATCAAATTTACATGAAGGATTATTGAGCTGTTTTGGAAGAAAAATTTCCTAGTTTACTCGTGATGGGATAAAATTCTCAAACTTTAATTTTGAGAGGAAAATTAAATAACAATAATGATAAGACTATCTAGTACCAATTGATTTGTTTAGACATCGTTGTTTGCAACAAAATCTGGGAGGGAGGTGGGATGGATTGTAACAAAATGATGTAGTTGGCCACTACAAAGAGGTGACATTCTCTTAAGAAAAACAATTGGTGTAATGATAGTTGAAACTTAATAATTGCAGAACTCCAGGTATAAATAGTTAGCTCCAAAGATTGAAGCACTACACAGCATATAAATGAGGCTTCAATTTTAGAAGTAAATCTAATATTTGATTGTAATGATTGTTCGAATTGCTGGTAAGGGATATGTTAATGATGCTTTTCCCTCCCTTTCCTGGAGTTGGATGGTGATTATTTTATTAATTTTCTCTTTTGATTCTTAAATGTTTTAAAATTATTTTGAAAAGATGAAACTTTACAAATTTGGTTTAGTGGGTGTTTATGTCGATTATCAAATTTCAACCATTTTTCCTGTTTGGCAGTGGTCAAATTCTTTGATGATCCCTTACCTATTAAAACGAGTATGGACTTTTTATTAGATCTTCATACTAGTATAATATTGTCCATTTTGAGCCTAAGCCCTCATAGTTTTGTTTTTGGATATCAACCAAAAGGTCTCATACTAATGGAGATTTACTATACTTATATACCCTTAATCTTTCTCAATTCTAGTTAATGTTTGACTTTGTTTGCATATTCTAACAATCTCCTCCTCGAACGAAGTCCTCTAACACTAGAGCCCACCCTAGAAGGGCCCTTGCCCTCTCCTAGCTCTCAAGGTACCCTCGCCCTCTTCTGGAGGTCCACCCGCACCGAGTCCTTCCATAGGGATCCACAGCCATCATTGCACATTTGGGAGTCACCGTGTGCACCCACATCCATGTTCTCTGGGCTCTGATACTACCTGTTAGAATAAATATGAATTTTTTACTATATCTCTATACTAATATGATATTGTCCACTTTGGGTTTAAGCCCTTATAGTTTTGTTTTTCGATATCAACCAAAAGTCCTTATACTAATAAAGATCTATCATATTTATATGCCCTTGATCTTTTTTGATTCTAGTCAAAGTCAATGTGGGATTTTGTTCGCACGTCCCAACATTATCAATTTGGGCGTTCCTTTCTGTTGTAATGTCTAGGTCCATTACTTTTGTGAGCTTGTCATTAGAAAGATTTTCTGGTGGTTAGATAGGTGGAAAGGTGCTTGGTTTTCTATGGGTGGTGATATATGTTGAATTGAGTTGTCTTTATCTAGTATCCAGCTGTTTTATGTTTCTTTTTCACTTTCCAATGGCAGTTGCTAAGAGGATTGAGAAGATTATGAGGATCTTCTTTGGTCTGGGGCTAAGGTTGCTAGAGATCACCTTGTTAGTTAGTTAGGAGATTTTCTATAGATCACTAGACCTAAAAAGGAAGTTTAGGTCTTGGAAATTTGGATGCCAAAAACTCTGCTTTGACTGCTAAATGGCTTTGGCATTTTCCTTTCCTTTTTTTTTTTTTCCCTTTTATGGGATCAAGTTATCTGGAAAAAAAAAGTATCGATTGCAGTTATGCACCCTAATGGGTGGGATGGTGATTCTGTGATTAATGTTTCACATGTTAGCCTTTGGAAATTTATATCTTAAGGTTATGCTTCTTTTACATTGTAAAAAGGATGTTTCCACTTCTATGGGTAGGATGGCAATTCTGTGGTTAATGCTTCCCATGCTGCCCCTTAGAAATTTATGTCTCAAGGTTATAGTATGAATTTCTTTTGAGGTTTAGAAATGCATAGGAAAACAAGGAATTTGTTGACTCATTTAAGTTCTTTAAAGAGATTTTGAAATCTAAGAATATGTTATTTAGATGTGTGAAGAAAGAACATTTTGGTCCTTTTATACAAGAATAAAAGCAATATTTAAAATTGTGCAAATTATGAAATAATAAAACTTATGAATCATATTATGAAGTTATAAGAAAATGTGATTGAAATAAATTAAAAGAAGAAACTAGAATTGTATATAATGAATCAATTTGATTTTATGACAAGAAGATTTATAAGTTAAATATCTTTTAAAAAATTTATTGGAAAAGAACCGATACAAAGAAATGGACTTGTATATGATTTTTATTTGATTAAATTGAAAAAATATATTTGTGTGTCCATAAAAGTGTTGTAAAACACTTTAAAAAGAAATGCTTAGCTTTAGGTCTTTACTTGTTTAACTTAGTTTTAAATGTACTTTATAAGTGATATAAAAAAATTATTTCTAAAATTGTTTTTTGCATTTGACATAGTTTTTATTGAAAAATCAATACAAAAATGTTAACTTTAAATTTTAGTATTGGAGACAAACTTTGAAATTTGAGAATTCTTTCTTAAGTGTAAGTAAAATAAAGTATATGCATTACAAATTTAACGGTAAACAAAATGATTTTGTATTAAAAATTAAAATAAAGATGACATAATATCATAGTTTTCAAATTTCAAGTTTAAGTTTTTAAGATTGATTCTACAAAATGACAGATAAATTAATGAAAATGTTACTCGAAATATAAGTTGGGCAATTAAAGTAAAATAAAAATAAAAAATTATTTGTGATCATAAAGTATCTATGAATTTAAAAGAAAAATTATATTGTAATAAACTTTCCTTTATGATAGTAAATGTTAGACTTGAGGATAACATGAGAAGAAAGTGAAAGCTGCAAAAATCAAAATACTATGATGGATGAGCAATTGTGAAGCATGGACACCTCGATGAGAGGAGTGTCCAGGTGTTGAACACGGCTCCAACACCGGTGTGATACGGCTTGAATACTGTTCTGCATGTGTCTGAATTTATAAATACTTTTTTGTGGCTTCACATGGTGGGACATGACTCTGACACCAGAAATGACATTTAAAAAAAAAAATGGTTAAAACTTTAAAGGTTAAAAAATATTTCATCTACACGAAAGTTTCTTCCTTTACTTCCTTCCTCTACATATTTTTGTTTTCCGCATTGCAATGTTGCGTTTCGTTTGCAAGCCATTCACCATTCTTCAGTCGTTGCTTGTCGTTCTTTGATAAACTTTCATCTCTATTCTTTGTTATATGAAACTTTGATGGCTCTTAGTATTTTTTGTTAGAGTATAATATGAAAATTATAAAGTCTAACAATTTTGTCTTGTAAAGATGAATGAACAAATTTTAATTTTTAATTTAAATTTTTGTCATGTTATATATATATATATATATATATATATATATATAGATAGATAGATAGGATCTATTGACAACAGGTGTAAGTCTTACCAATCCAACCGTACAAATCAATAATCTAACGGTTCAAAAGTCTTTCTACGCGTTTGTACTTTATTGCTTTGGTCAAATAATCGATAACTTTTCAAGATTATTGATTTGTACGGTTGAGATTTGGTGTAAGTCTTTTAGACTGACTCCTGGTGTCAATGGATCCTAACATATATATATATAGGTGGTGTCCTGCTGTCCTATATTTTGGACATCAGCCGTATTCCGGTGTTCATGTCAGAGTCGGTGCTTCATAGGTAAGTACACAAAAAAAGAACTACTGTAGGCACCATGAAGAGAGTGAATGGCGTAATTTTTAATCAAATAAAAAAGGATGGAGGAAGATTTAGAAGAACTTTGGAAGAAATTACTAAAAAGGATCTTATAATAAATAATACATTAGAGAATTTAATTTTTGATTTAGTTGAATAGCATCGTGTGATCCATATAATTGATTTTATCTTTTGGGATAAAGCTTAATTGTTGTATTTGGAAATCAATGGCTTCCTCTCTATAAGGTCAAATCCTTTGTTTGGACTGTTGTACTAGATAGGATTAACATGAATGGTTTACTTCAAATTTTAAAACCTCTAATTGCTCTGTCTCCAGATTATTGTTTTATGTGCTGATTGTGTTTTGAAATTGGTTCTCATTCTTGCATTGCTTAGTAGTTTCCTTTCTCTGGAATGAATTGTTTGCTGAACATTGGGTTCCCCAAAGATCTTTAGCAGTTACCGTGGGTTAATTTTAGAAGATTTGGTGCTAGCAGAGATGCTGTAATGAGGCTTGGTGTTCTCAATTTTTAGTTTTTCATTATTCGGTGTATTTGGTTGGAATGAATGTTAGAATCTTTAATGGTGGGATTGAGTTGTTTTCATTGTTTTTTGTGATGTTTGGCTCACGGTCTTTATGTACAGAGATTAACATGCTATGTTGCATGTTTCTTGTTTGTTTTTTGTCTCTTTCTTGCTTGGTCTTGATTTCTTTAGTTCTTGAGAACTTATCCTCTTGCATTTGTGCTTTCTTCTATATTGATAAACTCTGTTTACAATAAAAAAAAAGAGTGGGTAAGGAATGTAGTTCATTAAAAAGGCAATATATATGAATTCAAAAATCACATTCTAATAAGATGACAATTGATTGATGGTGACTATTTGCTTGTGGAATGAAAAGTTATTTAGCATTTACAAATCAGCATATGCATGGATATGTAATCATCTTATTTATTTTTGGTGATGTTCCAGTACTTTTTGGAGCTGATGAAGGTGCCAAGGGTGGAGTCAAAATTAAGAGTGTTCTCTTTCAAGATTCAGTTTGGTTCTCAGGTTTGGTGGTGTCTATAATATTTTTCTGAGTGTTTATGGATTTTGCTTTGCCTTCGGTTATCATTCTTTCTCTTTATGCAGGTTACAGAATTTAAGAAGAGTTTAAACACTGTGAACTCTGCCTGTGAAGAGGTACTTTGCTTATCCAACTGACAAACATGGTATTGCTTGAATTTCTTTGACCCTGTGCACTCTTTTCTCTGTTAAAGGTTCGTAAATCTGTTAAACTGAAGGAGATCATGAAGAAAATTCTTTATTTGGGTAATACATTGAATCAGGGAACTGCGAGGGGTAAGTCTTTTTTAGTTGGTATTTTCATGATTTGTTTCTGAACATAGAAAACATTTTTCATGTTAAGCTCTAATTTTAACATTTAGATAATCACTGGCTGATCCCATTTGTCAGCAGTCAAACTTTTATGTGGTCTGTTAGATCTTATCTAATGTAGAATGTCCAGTTTAGGGAGAAGTATTAAGGTAAAATGTTTTCATCTTTGCAGGATCTGCAGTTGGATTCAAGTTGGATAGTCTTTTAAAGCTCACTGACACTCGTGCTTCTAACAATAAGATGACACTGATGCATTATCTTTGCAAGGTATAAATGTCAATTGCAATAAATGGAGATATTATTTGGTCACTAACCTTTTCTTTTCTCTCCTATTTGGCTCTAGGTCCTAGCTGATAAGTCGCCTGGACTCCTTGATTTTCACCTTGACCTTGTTAGCCTCGAAGGTGCAACTAAGGTGATGATTTATTTTTGGTTTCTTATAGCTGGAAAAACAAAGGTCAACTGTGGTTTACTACCTTGGTTTGCTGGTCCAATTTCACTTTTCCCTCTGTTCTGTAAAAGTGAGCACATCCCTTCCTGTTTTAGTGACTAAGACTCAGTTTTAGAAGCAGATGAGCAGGGAAGTGGCTTAAAAAAACCAATCTACCTCTTTCAATCATCATCAAAGATCACAACCATTGGAGACAAAAGCTCATCCCTTTGGCATAGTCATAAGGTCTTTTTGAGTCCTTTACCTGCCAAAAAATCACATAGGGTTTGCAAAATTTGTTGTTAAATAAAGTGGGGATGTACTCAGTAGTGTAATTTATGGGGAAAGTGCAATTGGACTTAATTTAAGGTGGCAAGCTGTGTTTGACCAAAAAGAAAAAGACCAAAATACAACAATTTCCTTTAAATTTGGCCCATTGACAAATTCCCTTTGGTATCAAGTTTGGAATTATCTTTTAAATATTTCCTTTCAATTGTCAAGCATACAGATTTAGAAATCTTAATTGAAAATGCAATTGCCAATAATCACAAAATCAAGAGAAATTTCGCCTAGCATCACACATGTTGAAGTTGAATCAAGTTCCAGCAAAATCCCTTTTCATTTGAACCCCATTTCTTACTTTCTTTCACTTCTTAATGGCTACAAGTAGCTAGCTAATGGCTTGATGTTGACAAAGTGGGTTAATTACAACCCTTATTTAAAGTGGCTATTTACATTTTTAGCTGAAAGAAAATGCTGTTGAGATGGGACTATCCTATTACCAGTATTAGGTAATGATATTGCAATATATATTGATTGGACACTTGACTTCTGTCAGATACAATTGAAGTCATTAGCAGAAGAGATGCAGGCAATCATCAAGGGATTAGAAAAGGTTAAACAAGAACTTGCTGCCTCTGAAACTGATGGACCTGTATCTGAAGTTTTCCGTAAGGTGTTTAACATTTTTTTCTGTCTCTTGATTTTTCATTATTTCAGAAAAATAATAAATAATAAAATGGCAAAGAAATTTCAATTTCAATTTCTAAAATGAATTCAGGTATTGATATTTCCTGCTTCATGAATGTAGTTGACAGTGTAGTTTTGACAACTATCATCATCAGTTAATTAAGGTTTATGGTTGTGTGTGGGTAGTGCATGTTAGATATGTGGACAGGGTCTGGCAGGTTTTTCTTTAACTTGTTTTCTTCATTGTATACTACAGTTTTTTGTTAGATTTATTTTCTCAATCTTTTGTAACCTGAGGTATAAATTTACATTTAATCTAAATTACCTAATACAATTTTTGTATTGGCGGTTCAGGTTGTCTTTCCCTGTCAAGTAAGGGGTGATATTATGTTGAGACCCACTTTATGCACTCATTGGTTATTTGGCTAGTGTTGCCAATTTTTTTTAAACCTTAAAAGCTAAAGTTATATAGTTCAATGTAAGAGCTTTAAATTTAAGGTTAAAGTTGCTTGGTAATTAGGGATGAAAATAGGTTAGGCTTTGCATAAATAAAATTATAAATATGCTATTGATTGAATACCATTATGATTGATTATTCACAAGTATAAGTGTAACAAGAATAAATAAAATTATTTTATTGCTCTTAATCAAAATGAAGATATTTGTTAAGTTGAAAATAGAGGAAAAAAAAATGAAAAAGAGTTACATATAATATAAACAAATATATAAGAAGATGATGGATGAAACAAACCAACGATAGACATAATCAAGACAGTGTAAATGTAAATTATCTATATGCATACAAGACAAATTAAACAATAGTAAAGCAAAAAACTCTAGCAAATATGACTCTCTCTTTTAGAAAGTATGTAATAGGGACATTCTTTAGCTCTAACAAAAAAATTAGAGTTTCTAATTTAAGATTTTATTTATTTTAAATTTTAATTTATTTAATATAATATTATATTCTAATTTTTTATATAAAATTATTTAAATATTATTATAAATTTTATAAGTTTTAAATAGATCATTCTAATAGGCTAGATTTTTATTTTTTTTTAAGTTCAAGCCTGATCTATTTAATTAATTAATCTTTTTAAAAAGTCTGTTACTTAAATAAGTCAAGCCAAGTTACGCTTTAAAAAAGTTAGGCCGTAGATCTCTATTGAACAGTCTGACTTATTTTCATCCCTATTGGTAATCCTATGATTTTTTAAGCTTAAAAGTTATTATGAAGTAACAATTTCTTGTGTAATGTGTTCTTGGATCTTTGGGATTTGAAATAAAGAAAATATAAGATTATGAAGCCAAAATCCTCTAATCTAGCTTTTTTAAAAGCTCCTTTACTAATTTGTTTAGCCCAGCTTCTCCTTGTAAGAAGATAAGCCAGAATAAGCTGGGTCAAACAGTACCTTGATGTAGAGAAATAAAATGCCTTCTTGTAGAACTTGTAAGGGATTTTTTTTGGGTGTATTTAAGCAACAGTGTTAAGAAGCTAAAAAAGTTTAATTTTTCATGGAAATGTCTGAAGATTGGAGCTTATGTTGGTCTTAAAAATTGTGGGTAATCAGTACTATCCTGCTAGGATGACTTGTTGCTTGTGTACATATTCTTTTTCTTTAGCCTCCAATTTAAATCCAACGAAAGGGGTTATGTCAATATTGGGCTTTGGCAGTAGTTGTCGCAAATTACAAATGGTGAAATTATTATAAGGCTGTGCTTAAGGAGAATATTTTAGGACTACCACTTGGGTTTAGAATTGAACTACATAATCCTATAAGAAGCTCAAAACCCCAAACTTGAAATTGAAAAAAAGGTGGTTAGGTGTTTGTTGGTTATTTGGTTTACTCAGTTAGAACACTATATTCATATGTTTTGGGATGTCTCATTCCTTAAACTCATGGATAGGATCGTATTCTTTGCTTCTCTTTGGTGTTCTGCTCAATGGCTATTTCGAACAAGATACAATTTCTGATATGGCTGGATTTTGTGTGCTTATTGTTGTATGTTGACTTTTCTTTTTTCCAAGGTTATACACAATGGACTTCGAAACTGGCCCTTTATTTTGTGTGCACTCACTGTTAACAAGTAACTGCATATTTAAACTTCTGTCTACACTTTTCACATGTCAGCATTTGTTATTTATCAGCTTCACCTAATTTCTAATGGCAATCAATATGCTTACGGAAGAGTGTGACTATGATCCCCTTGTTGTTGATCAATGATGAGTGAATTATAAGTCTCCCTATGTTTCTTTAGCCTTGCATAAACATTGAATTTGTGTTCAACAAAAATTAAGGAGAACATTAATTTTATTTTTTTTAACAGAGACCATGTTTTCAGTACACTTGACTTATTTTTTTAATGTTCTTTTCAGACATTGAAAGAATTTATAACTGTAGCTGAGTCAGAGGTGGCATCTCTAACAAATCTATATTCTGTAGTGGTAATATGCTTAACTATCTTCTCTGTACATTATGCACTACCGTGAACAGGTAAAAAAGATTGTGTAATTTGTCTTTGGACAGGGTAGAAATGCTGATGCACTTGCACTATATTTTGGTGAGGATCCTGCTCGTTGCCCATTTGAGCAAGGTAAGTTGATCAATATTTATTTCATTTGTAGTTTTCACTGTTGTTCTCTTTCCTTGTTTACGTTTTTTTACCAGATTATAGTTCGGTGACTGATGTTTCTTGGGAAAGGACATTTTCATGACCAACCCCCTTTCCTTGTTTGCATTTATGGTTGGGACGAGTGTGCATTCTCTAGAGATTGGGCTGATTTCAAAGTGTGGTTTTCTTGTCTATGGTTAAGGAAACATGCTTGTATTTTTACTTTTTCTACCACCCCTCTCTCCTCAAATGTTTGTAATGGAATCTGTGGCACAAGTTATTTCAAAGCTTTCTTCTGAATTATGATAGTGACCAAATTGATAGAATTGCCTGTCCTTCAATCCTTGTGTAAGCATTGCAGCAAAAGAATTTTGACAGAAGGGTTGGGGTGAGAGAGAAATTCAAGGGATCATCTATGCATGTTTCTGTTGTGTTATTTGGAAAAAGTAGTGATATGTTCTCTTCTCTTTTCTATTATGCTCCCGCTTACTTATTATTGTTGCTGGTTTGACCATTGCAGTTACTGCAACTCTCTTAAATTTTATAAGGTTGTTTCGGAAAGCACATGAAGAGAATCACAAACAAGCAGAGTTAGAGAAGAAGAAAGCTGAGAAAGAGGCTGAAATGGAGAAGGCTAAGGGCGTTAACTTGACAAGAAAGAGTGCAAAAGATAGTTGACAAATGGGTTTTCTGCTCCTTTGCATCAACATCATCATGCTCTTGCCCAAGAGCAGCAATGTTACCCGAGTTAGGGGAATGCTTCTGAGGCCAGTTAAGAAGCCTCCCTTTCCACGATGATGATGTGAGAATTAGCCTTTCAAGCTGATATATTGACGCAGAATAGCAAATTCCTGCCACCTGTGGACCTTTGAACATATAACAGGCTTAGGAGTTGATTCTTTGATGGCATGCTGTTGAATCGGATTTATGTGGCCAACTGATCTTTTTTGTCAGAATACTCTGGAAATTCCAGATTTAGGCGTGGAATGGATGCTTACTGTGATTGCTTGAGATGCCATCTGCTTCCAGTAAATGCTAAGAAAATGATGGGTGCAGTCCCATTTATGTTCATTCAAGAAGAAATTTTGTACAGGGCATGTCTTCTATTGCAGTAGAGCTGGCATTGGCTTGCACCATTCATTTGGGCATATTTTTCTGGAACCAGAGCAGATGTTGCTTTTTGGATTTGCAAATCTCCAAAATCCAACCGTAGTACCATGAAACCTTGTACAAAGCACTAACCCTCTCCTTAGGATCCAATTCTTTCTCATGTAACATAGAAATTAGTTTCCTTTTTTGATAGTGATTTTGGTAGATATCCTCGAGAAAATGTTGTATAGCTGTCAGGTTGAGAGAAAATAGAAATATTCAGAATTGTTTGATTGAATTATAGAACAACAGGCTCTGCTAGCGTCATTAAAAACTAGTTTGTCGAAGTCCAATTTTTGAAGTATGTTTATTGTTTATAGAAGGGATGGTATTGGTGGTGGCAGAGGAATTTACTCTGCCATAGTAGAATGCATATTCCCTTGTATCTTTACGTACTCTAGTGTTTGTGCAGAATATTCTTAGGGTCAGTGGATGATATTTAACTGTTTTGCCATTCCCAACTCATAAACCAGTTGTATTAATATTTGAATAATGTTATATCTTCTTACAATGTTTTCCTAATAACCCTCTTTATATTTTATAAGAATTATAAATAAAATATATATTTAATGTCTTGGAAACAAAAATAAAATAAAATTTAATGCTTTCTTCGTCTAGTAAGATCATCAATAAGATTTAAAATTATTCTTAAAATCAGGACCTGGGGAGTAGTTTTCTATAAGCATAACGTGTGGCATCAACAAAATACAGTTGAACAGCATAGTAATATTTCAGCTTTTTCAGCAATTAAATACGAATTCCTTGATATTGAGTTTCAATGATCCTATGGATTGGGATCATACTAATGTGAACATATATCATTCATTGGTTTTGACTCTTAAATGGTCTCTAGCGTTTTAAACGTAAACTAAAAGGCTTGTACTAATGCACACTAGTCTTCACAGGGTCCGTGAAATCATTATTGCCTTTTCATTTGATGAATAAAACACACCAGAAAGCCACGGTGACAATTGCACTAACAAAAACAATGTATGGCTTGCTTCCATTTGTATTATTCACACCGTAAAAGATTGCCATTTTCCAATCTGTACGTAAAAGAGATGAAATAAAAAAGACAAGAGTTTAAGAATATAACAGAATTACATTTAATGTTGCACTAATCTCTAGCTTCCTGGCCTTCCCACATAACCGAGCTGAGGTTGCTCAGTTGAAAATCTTTTTGTCTTCAAAGTTGCTCTATTTCAAGCAACATAAATGAATTTTGTAAATTCCTGGAACACTCGTTTAAAATAGCTGGTAGCTCGTTCTCCTCCATGAAGAAAAGCCTTGACCAAATCAATAATATGTCACTCCATATTAATTATGGTAGTTCTTCAAAATTCTTGGTGCCCATGTAACCATATTTGTCCTCATCTTGGAATTCTATTCTGAACAAATGTCTATCCTCTAGACCAATCCGTGATCCTGTCTTAAAGCTTTTGTAAAACATGCAGCTCACAATTGTGTCAAGTATGATGAAGATTGAGTATAGATAAGCAATGAAAATGCCCTCCAAAGCCACACAAGGCCTTGCCTTTCCAGCAACATGATAGGGCCTTACAACCCGGAATTGGAACAAGGCCTCAATGGCAGCCAAGGCAACATTCACAGGCAGTGCCAAGAACAAAGCCATTGATGTCCTTCCCCTTATCAGAACACAAGCTTTCAGAATTGCAAGGTATCCTCCATGTCCCTCCATGCCAGATAGAGCTAGTGCCATGTTACATATGACAAGCGCATTGGCTAGAATCACAGAAAATAGAACAGCCCCAGATGCTGACATGAAGAGAATGAGGCAACCATGGGAAGAATAGCCTAGTCCTTCAGTGATGCTGAAGGCCAAAAACATGAGACAGAAAGAAGTTGCATTTGCCGTGAGAATCAAGAAACAGTTGCATATATAGGTGTGAAGGAGCGGCTTGTAAAGGGATATTATTGAACTGAAGGAACGTGACAAAGTTGGTTTGTGGTGATTGATAGCCTTGATTATGGATGCTTTTGCAATGAGGAGAAAGGTGAGAGTGAAGGGAAGGGTGAGGATTGAAGAAGTGATTGTTTGAGAAACCTTGAGGTTAAGAATGCTAAACAATTGTGACGAAGGAAAGCCTGCAGCATCAAAAAGAGTCCGTAGGCGGGTGTAGATTTGAGGCAAGAGGGATGAAGGGGCAGGAACTAAAGCTTGTGAGAGAAGTATTGAAGCTGAGAAAGGAAAAGCAAGAAAAGCTGCTGTTGAGGTGAAGTAATGATAGTTTTGAAGAAAACTGTGAATTGATTTTCTTAGAATCTTGCATGAAACTTCCATTGGAGTTGATCTTTTGGCTGTGTGCCGCTGAAGGGAGACGGAGATGAATTTGGTGGGGGTTCTCAGTTGTCACCAATATGGACTCTATAATACTCAAAAGTGTACAAAAGCCTGGTGTTGGTGTTTCTTTTTCTGTCCTTGTTTTTCTTAAATGAGTTTGCTCTTTCTTTTGGAAATGGTAGGTTAGAGAGTTTAGAGGTTGGTGTTTTGAATGAATAGATAGGCCAAAAAGAAGAAACTAACGACTGCTATAAGGTGCAAGTTTGGACTTTGTTTTTACCAGAGGTTTTGGACACATTGTGGGTTATGCTTCGTGTTCTACGAATCCCACCAGATTAGCTGGTTTAAGAGGGCACAAAGCATAGTACTTTTTCCTGGTTGTGACCTTTTGATATATTAGCAATAAGCAAATATGTAATTTGGTATGAAAAGTTGTTTGGTTTTGTCTTGATGATGAAAGCTCCTCCTTTTAGATTGCTTAAAATGCACATTATTTGGTAGCTTATTTTTCTGGTTACAACCCTTTTTCAAGTCCTAGATGTATATCATGACAAAATGAATTATGAAGCATTCGATGTTGGCCCCATTATCCTTGAAATTAAAGCGTCATTTTAAGATTTTAAGAGCAATTTATGAAATGAGTAGAAAATACAAAAAGGAACCACACTTTGATGAAGAATGAGAATAGGAATTTAATTCAAACTTGCCGTAATATACAATGAACATCGTTATAAAATAGTAACTTGACATGCATGCTGCTTAAGGTAGGACCAGGACCCTAGTTTTGGCACTTCTCACGTGGTATAATAAGTAAGTAATACGTAGCTTGTAAGCTATGTAAATAAATAAATAAATAAATAATAAGGTGGTTTACCCTTCTACTTTTAATCTTCCATCAACAATTATAAAGAAAAGGGACCCCTGAATAATATGATATCTATAAAACCGAGACTATCAATTTAACGTCAAACCAAATGCTTATCAAACATAATTGTTGATTAATGTTCGATTAAAATGCCACACAAAGTGGATGTGGTAGACAATGAGATGCAATTAGGACACGAACGTATGTGGGCAGGGGTTGGTGACCAATGAACGATGAACAAAACATGGTGATTCTGGTGTGTGAGTATGATTTAGTTGGTTAGCTAAACTGGTTTGACTTGGTAATTGGTTCGAAGGGGGTAAAATCTTATCTTAAATGATTTGATTCTGTTATTATAGCGAAGAGAATATTATCATATTAAACAAGATTAAGTATTTAGTTATACTTTCTTCCCTTGTTGAGAGGTCAGCATATTTATTGACATTCCAACTATAATTTAATTGCAATTAGGTGATTGAATGTAATATAATAGACATTTGAATTGGTTTGGGGTCCCCTGTTTCTTTCTAAAGGAAAAAGAAAGAAAACCATCAAAAGAAGACAAAATAAATATTTAGGACTTGCAAATAACTTATAGATTATATATACACAAAACTAAAGTGTCGGTTCCTTTTTATTTATGGTTTAAATTAATTTAATCAGTGTGGCATCAATGATAATGATAATAATTTAATCACTTTATTTTAAACATCATGCTTCTAACAACTAAGCTAAACGAGACTAATCAAAGCAAAAGTGGAAGGTTGATTCAATTAGTTATGTTGTTTGTACTTGATACATTTTTTTTTCACACAAATAATTTTTATAAAAAAAATATGGGTATTCCTCCATTGGTTCCTAGCTTCGATTTTTCTGTTTTCATCTTTTTAATTTTAGACATACTAATCACACTTGAAATGTATAGTCTAGCAAGTTTTCGTGTTTTTGAAGAGAAAAAAAGGTAAACTTCTCAGTATTGATGTGGTAGGATGCCCTAACAAGTAATATTATCTCTTTCAACATTACAATTTGACATCGAGAAATTTCCACTTGTTTTGGACATTTTGGCTTATACATTTCAGTGGGTATCATAAACAATTAAAATAAAAAATAAACATTGGATTAACCATACAACTGCGTGACGGCACTGGAAATGCATCATTTATTGTTAATTATCAAGCGATTTATAAACTTTAGCTTAACTCAAATGGTAGCATAAAAATTCAAATGTTTTACTAGTGCTGATAGGTCATTGACAAATTATTTTACTACATACATTTTTAGAAACGTTGAATTTATTAATTTAAATATTGAATTAACATTTTTTTATATGTGGATTAAGTGTTTATATAATTTAAAAAATTAGTTTACACTTTACTGTTTTATTTTAACATATAATATGGTATATATATATTATCTTCTTATATTTATACATACTATCTTTCATCTACTAATTTTTTAGTATTTGAACATTGTTAGTTTAAACACATTCATATTCTCATTTTGTCAAATCATACATATTGGAGATGATGTATTTCTTGATAATGTTTGCTTAGTATTATTATTTTGCAAATAAACTGACACTTAATATGCATAAAAACTTAGAAACTTGTTAAAGTTTATATAGTTTCAAATATTATAAATGCGCGTTATTAAACTTATTTCTTTCCAATTTATAATATAGTTTTAGAGAATATTTTGTGTTTTTAAAGAATTATATAAATTACTTACAATTCCGGTATGTTGCATGAATATTTTAAATTTTAGGGAAAGTTAAAAAGTTACAAATTAGAAGAAATTTTTTAAAACTATAACGGATGTTGTAAAATTAATTCATTTAGATTTGATAAATAATCGAAACAAAAAAATTTAAATTTTACTAAAGATATGCACAATTCGTTTAAAAGATTAAATTTAAAATTTTAAAAATATTTGAGCATGAAATTGGAAACACTGCCTCTTTAAAAGACAATATATTAAAATATTTACACTCAAGATACTATATTCTAATTAAACATATAAAATGAACCATATTGGAAGAAGAATAGCATATTTTAGTGATAAAGAAAGAAAGAGAAAATATGAAAGGAATCAATTCAAAATATAAATGATTTAGATTTGGGAAAATTTAGTGTAAAATTTAAAAAATTTATATTTGAGAAGAGAAAATTAACCTCAGGATTTTAAAATAATTAATAATTGAAGTTTTTTTAAAATATATAAAATAACCAAAAAAAAAAAAGAGAAGAAGAGTATTTTGATGGGGATAAAACCTCACAACTTATTTCTACACTCCTTTCCGTTTCTTTTATAAAATATTTATGAATTATAATTTAATAACACACGGTAATATATATATATATATATATATATAATTATGAAATATTACAAAATTTAATGCATTAATAGCATCAAATGTTATAATTTTTAATAAAAAAATTAACATTTTATTAAAAACACATTAAAAAAAGTAGATTCAATAAATTTGTATAAAATGAATATAAAATTATTATATTATATTTTTAATTAAAATTAATTAATCTAAACTATTATTTTACTAATTTATACAATTTAATTAAAAGAGGATTATAAAATGGAACAAAGAAAGTATAACTCAACCTCTAGAGCAATCCTCATGAATATTTTTAGTAACTTTTGAAATATTTTTAATTGTTTGGTATACTCCAAACACCTTTGGAGGAAATGTAATGGAATCTTTTAGCAGCCTCCTCTAAGTGGGCTAAATTAATGGCCTTGCATTGGACCATCATAATACTGGATTCTCCTACTGCCTCATAGGTCTTTAAATATATATTAATGTGTATTTGAACTAGCTTTTAGACGAAATAAATTAGAATTAATTTATATATCTTTATGATAAATTTAAATTTTGAAATTAAAATATTATTATATCATATTTTTATTTTTAAGTTATGTGACTTACAATTAATTGTTTATATTTCAATTCTTTTTCAAATTATTCACATAAAATATTGTAATGTTAATTTTTTTTCAAAATTTTATCCTATGATCAAAGTTTTACAAAGATGTTTTTAAAAAATATTTTTTAGCAAAATTATGTATACCGAAACATCTCATTTAGACCTAAATTTGTTAACCGCTAAAAGTATTGACATGAAATAATTGTTGAGTTTGAATTTAAATAAAAAAAAAATACAGGGAGGAAAAGTTAGAAGAGGTGATTGATTAAAGTGATCCATAAGTATTCTTAAATAAGATAAGAGAGAAAGTTGGAGTTACAATTCAGCAAAACTATGGTACCTCTTGGTTGCTTGGAAATGTTTCTAGTTCATAAACTTCATAGTACATCGACAAGTATCTAAGAACGTATTTCCATATCCAAATAATTGGTCGTTGCAACCTTAAATCGGAAGCACATTCGTAATGTAATAATAATAATATTATTAACTCAAATGGGAAGGATTCAATACTTCATGTCAGACAAGTAAAACTCAAATTTAGAGACCCCGGAAAGGGTAAAAATACTTCATATATTCCTGTTGCCGTAGCATGTAACTAGCACAAAATACTTCTACACCAACAAAATCTATATACCCTATTGATCTTTTAGCACTATGATCAATTGTGATAATAGGGAGAAAAAGAAGAGTATACTCTACATTCTTAAACTAGAATTACTTCAATTTGGTCTCGGTTGTTGTGGTGACCAAGACTATCAGATACCTAGAGGTTGCTCCATAGCACTTGCATAAACTTCAGCACTGAGTATTTGTAGAAAGGAAAACACTGGCACAACAAATCCAAGTCCTTTTGGGGCCACAAGGTGACTACTTTTCCTTTGAACCTCTTAGTACATGTTTGGAAACACATTAGAAAGCTAAACACACTGTTAGCAATGTTGAAGTAAACGTAGGTATACCTACATTCTAACGTGAGACTAAACACACTGTTAGCAATTCCTACCTAACTTTACTTTCCATGAAACTCGGTTGTTTGAGAAAAAGCAGTTTCAGCAACACTTGTGCTAGCAGATGCATCAATTTGTGTGAACACCTGAGAGATCTGTTATATTGTCATATCCGTTTGGGATCAGAGTTTCACATTTATCCTGAGATGCATCAGTCCGTGAGGCAGCTTCTTGTAGTTGCAGAGCATATTCCAAATGCCATAACACATCCACCATGCTAGGCCTATCAGCACCACAATATTCTAGACATTTCACTACAATGTGAACGTAAACATTTAACGATTCAACATTGATAGTGTCAACAATAAGTGGATCAATTACTTCATGGAGCGTGCTATTTTTGTGATGTTGCATTGCCCAATCAACCAAGTTAATCCCCTCCATTGTGAGTGTTGGGCAAATAACTGGCTTAGCACAAAGTACCTCAACAAGGACAACCCCAAGAGAGTATACATCAGATTTTTGTGTTAGTTGTTGGCTCCTATAATACTCAGGATCAAGGTATCCAAAACTACCCTTCACAGCTGTGGTCACTTCTGCTTTATCTGGGACAACTTTTGATAAACCAAAGTCAGAAACCTTAGCAACAAAGTTGTCATCTAAAAGGATATTTGTTGTCTTCACATCACGGTGTATGACACTTTGAGATGCACCAGTGTGGAGATAGTGAAGTCCACGAGCAGCACCAATGCATATCTCAAGCCTCTTTTGCCATGACAAAGGAGGAAGGTTGGAGCCATAAAGGTGGGAACGAAATGGGCCATTAGCCATGTACTCATAGACAAGAACCATCTCTGAGCTTTCATCACAGTAACCCATCAGTGAGACTAGGTGGCGATGGCGTAGCTTGGAAAGCATGTTTAGTTCTGTTCTGAACTCATTGATGCCTTGTTCTGAACCATCATTTCCTCGTTTTATAGCAACCTTTTTCCCATCTTTCAACCTTCCTAGGTACACTTTCCCAAAGCCTCCAACACCAATTACTCTCTTTTCATCAAAGTTATCTGTGGCTTGTTGCATTTCACTGAAAGGGAAGAACCTTTTAGGCCCTTGTGGTGAGCCATGGTGACCATGCTTGCTCTTGTGGGAAATGAATGTGGTTATTAAGCTTACAAAGCTGCTTTTGCTTGAAAACATGCTAGTTTTAGAACTAGAATGAAGAGGAAGGAGCCATGATGAGAACCTGTAATGCTTTTCCCAGCTTTGAGGTCTCTTTTGCCACCTTACGAAAATCATTGATAGCAACAGCATTGATATCACAGCCAATGCGAGTCCAACACAAGCAGCAATTTGCATTGCCTTGGTTGTTGAACTTTGCCCTTTGTATTTCCCATCAACAGAGAAGAAACCATCCAAGCTATCTGCAGAATTGCTTATCTTCATCACCTCAATTCCATTCAGAATTGCATTGACCGTGCCTTGCTGAAGATTAGCTGGTCCCACCTGAACCAAGATGGAGCCATTTGTGATAGCAGATGCACCAAGCACAAAGTCCTTGTAAAAAGCAGTGGCTAGAGCTTTGGTTTCTGTTGAAAGGTCTAAAGCTGACACACCCACATTCCCATTGATGTACACATTGAAATATAGTTGATTAAGACTTCTGCTCACAATGTCACAAAAATGCATTCTTATCAAATAAGAGTAGCTTCTTTCCACATTCATCAACCAACTAAGATTGAAATTTGGCTCCATAACTCTAGGATCTTTCATATATTTAGCAGTTGAGTAAACCAAGTTCGGAGCAATCAAAGGTGTAACAGGAACACCAGTAAGTGGATATTTGATGCTGTTGCTGGGTACCACAACAGTCTTAGAACCCTGTGGGAAGATATTATAAGAGACATCAGGCTCCCATGTTCTTGACAAGGTATCATTATCAGGAGTTATGGTTGGTCCACCAACATTTACTCTGTAGGATACTTGCAAAGCAGATATCAACAACCCTTTGAATTCTCCAAGTGGGGTAACACCAGTTGCTGAATCAGAAATAAGGGTGTCAGGGGCTGAGACAACCTCAATGGCATTGATGAATGCAAAGGAGTTTTTCTTGGGCTTGAATTTGAGGGAGAATCTGCTCTCAGAAACATTAACAAGATATTCCTTGAAAACAAGTGAGTCATTGTTGCTCACAGAGAATTCATGCAAGAGCACAAAGTGGTTAGTTTGGACACTGAAAACTGCCCTTGTTAGATTATAGGAAGGGTGAGAGAGAGGGTAGAAGTAAAGGCGAATCCAAAGTCTACCAGTTTTGGAGATGTAAAAGGAGTACGTGGATTCCTCTTGAAAAACTCTTGCAGTTTGATACAAAGGCAATGATGTAGAAGAAATTGAAGGAGAGACATTTATGTTGATAGAATTAACTGATAGTTTCACATCTTCAGTTGTGGATAAGAGAGATGCAGTTTCACGATCAGATTTGAAGGTTCTTCCATCTTTGAGCTTAGTGGGGTTGGAGGACCCACAATCAATGAGATAATTAACAGAAGGTGAGAAAGAAGAATCAGTGGCAAGAGCAAAGTTGGTGAGGCTAAAGATAAAAAGAAGAAGAAGAATGGAAGGGGAAGAGAGAGAAGGAGGGTTCAGTACTATTCCTTTATTCTCTATTCCCATCTTTGAGGTTCAATAACGTGGCAAGGCAATGACAATGAGGGTGGTGGAGGAGTGAACATGAAGATAGAGATTTATGGTGTTGGAGAAGAAACTGAAGGGTGTTTTCAGAGAGGAACAAGAATGGTGAAACAGTTGGAGAAACAGAAGAGAAGTTTTGTTGGAAGAAAGTAGTGAGAGGGTCTTGTGTTAGAATTGGTAAATTGAATGATGAATCAGAGCGAGGAATACGTTGGACCCTTCAATGTCGCTAAGGATGTTTTTTAGTTTGTTCTAAAAAAAACTTAGGATCAACGAACGAGTGCAAAACCGCGTAACTATCACCAACCTGAATCGGTTTAGTGTCTATATTATAGCATGCAATGCAACAGAACTTCGATTCTGCAAGCTTTGTAGATCAGCTCAGAACATTACTTATTTTAATTTTTAAGATAAAATAATATTAATTTTTTTTTGCTGAATAAAATAATAATGTTTATGAACATATTTACTAGACATATGAATTAAATACATAATGTTCGGTCTGTTTGTTTACTCATTCCTTTGTCTTAATCATATAAAAAATTATAAGAATTAAATAATAAAACACATTAAATATTGGTCTAATTTACTTAGAGTAAAATGATATTAATCAATTCAAAACTTATTTAAAATTACCAAAATATGTCACTTTAATTCATTAGAGAGATTTATTATTGGTTGACATTTAAGTGATGTGAATTTATTTGGACTGTCTCGTTATAGCAGCTATATAATATTCTTCCAATCTAACTTCATTTTATAGATGTTTATATTAATTATTATACAAATTAAATTATTATTACTAATATAATAGCATAATTGGATGATAACAGACAATATATTAAAATTATATTCTAGTGAAGTTGAGAAATGGATATATATTAAATCTTATTCTGGTGAAAACTGTGGTATTTGCATAATAAGGAAAATGTGATTAATCAACTGCATTGCTACTAATATTTTACTTGTTCTACTATTCCATTGCAGTTTGGCTTGCGGTAAGAGAATAAATTATTAATTTTTTATATAAATAAGCTACTTAACTTTAAGTTTATTTTCTTTCACGATTTTAGATTTGTTTCATGTTTAAATTTTAATATGATATAAAAATTTGGAAAAAAAGAAAACTTAAAGGCTTTTCTTTGAAAAAAAAAACACAAAATAATAAAGAAGTTAAAAATAGACAAAGGTTTAAAAATTAAATGAATAATAATGAAAATAAAAAGATTAAAATGCTAATAATAATTAAACTAAATCTAGTTAAACTTAAGAAATAATATTTTAAAAATAACGTATCCCATAAAAAATTAATGAATTTTTTCAATAGAAGACATTAACATTTTTAATTAAATTATTCATCTTATTATTTATTAATATAAAATTAATTATTAAAATTATTTTACATATAAAAAGGAAAACAAACTCTCTTATTAAAAAAATACCATAGATTTTATCTTTAAAAAAAATATATAAATAACAAAATTATAAATCTAAGTTTTTAAAGCTTTTTAATCAGTTCGTATTCTTCAAGTCCTAATATTATTTGATAATATAAGATGAGAGAGTAGTAAATTACATGAAGTCGGTGAGTCGTTGACTTATTTTATTTGTATATTTTAATATAAAATAAAATTTACACAAACTTATTAAATTGTATATTTTTTTTGTCTTACTATTTATTTAAGAAAAATCTTAACAAGTTTCTTTAGATGCAAATTTAAACTATATTTATTTCAATACATTTTAATGCATTATGATATAATTTTTAATAAAAGAAATATTTGTATTAAATTCTTAATCAGTGTCCAGCAAAACCCTTTCTTCAACTAAAGAGAAGATTCAGAAGTAGCAATTTATTTTTGGGATGTTGGACTCCCTTTACATTGAAATTTTCACAATTGGGGAAGCCAATAGCCCAATGCTAGTTTGAAATTGAAATCAATTGAAACAGAAATAATATCAGGTGTTGGGTTAATTGTTGTTTAATATCTGTGTAGTGTGGGGAAGAAGACACCAAACCCAGTGTTCCAGCAACAGTGTCTGAGTTGAATGAATAAGAAGAAGAATGGTGGATGATGATGTTCCTCCTGCCGATCCAAAAGATTGGTCAATGGTGGTTATACACGATGATGAAAAGGACGCTTTCGTATTTCCCCCAATCAACCACGAAAATCTGCAAATTCCCCAACACTCTTCTTCATCTTCTCCTTCCTCCTTTTCGTCCTCTGATTCTGACTTGTGGACCCCCTCTTCTTCTTCTTCCTCGTTCGATTCTCAGATCAGCAAAGGCGGGGACTTTGTCGGATGGATGAGTATTGGGGTTCAGATATTGCGTTCCAAACTTCTTGCCGCATTTTCCTCTTTCCGGAACTGTGCCGCCGACAGAGGGACAATTTGGTCATTTTGGGTGCCCGCTGCTGCGCTTCTAATGTCGTGCTGGGTTGCCGTGAAGAAGTGGAAGAGGAGGAGGAGGATCCTCACACCCAATGAAACTCGTCTCATCAACATTATTAAGGAGAAAGATGGGGTTCGATCAATTCAATCACTTCTTATATTTCTCTAATTTGTTAGCTTTTCACTTCAATTTCCAATTTTACAATTTCCTTTGTGTTTTAGCACATGCCATCATTATTGAAGTACTATAGTATATAGTTATATTTGGGGTAGCATTTCGCGTGTATTTGGAAGCACATGGAAAAACATGTAAATGTGGATGCCATGCAGAAACTACAACTATATTGTGGGACAGCATTCAGGGTGTATTTGGAAACTCATGAAAAAACATCCAGACGTGTGTTTAGATATGTGGTATAATTAACTTAATGCACCTTGAAACAATGGAAGCTACTCTAGGTTGTGTAGAAAGAAACAAATTTGAAACCAAACACAAGAGGAAGAGTAGCCAAAAGGGGAAAAAACTATTTATAGTTTTGTCAAGTTGTTTTGTTGTGCTTGGCTGCATTGTTCTAAGATTGGATGGTGTGAGAACTATGCATGTATGTAGGCATGAAGGGTTGACCCTTTAAACAAATACTATAATGTCTCTCTCTCTCTCTCTCTCTCTGTTTTCTATTGATTTACTCACTTGAAGGCATACATTTTTTAGCAGTTTCCTGAATCTCCTCCTTTGCTAAGGCCTTTGTGCACTAACTGCTAGCTTTATTTACAGAAAATTGCCCAGCTCTTGCACCAGATTGCACAAATGAATAAACTACTTATAGATCGTCACAAAGCATTGGCTGCTAAAGTGGTGGAATGATCGGCTAAAGGTTGTGAATAGGGTAGCTATTGACTTATTGTAAGTTACATTCATAAGGAGCCTACTGATCACTGATGTTATTGTGATTTTGCTCGTGTTCTGCAGGTGAGAGTTAAGTTGTAAATTGACACCGAACTAAATGTGATTCTTAGAACATGTTCCTACCACAGCAGACTGATTGAAAAAATATACTCAAATGCCATGACAAACCTAATCAAAGGATATGCTGAGGAATGAGGTGCCAACGTTGGGGTTATATCATTAATCTGCAAGACTGGTGCTCCTCAAATCCTCATTATTCATGAATGATTCGTTTGGTGGGGAACCACAGAATTATGCAGGGAAGCTGGCAGAACACCAATTGTAATAAAGTTAACTAGGTTCTTCGTGCTCAGACATTTAGCACATTTTGCATTGTTCAAGCCCGTCATGTTAACTTAATGTCCCATCATATTTGGTTTAGCTTCAAAGTCTCATTGGTTCGTTTGTGCAAAAGCTTATACCTTTTGAAATTTTAAAACCATGGTTCAAGTCTATGCTTAGTTTCTGTAATTCAGACTCAACTCCAACTAATGATGCATTTGGGTATCCCAGTTTCACTAAATAAGTGTATTTTTTTGAAGACTAGGTATTGAACCAAATTAAGGATGGAAAAAAAGACAGAATTTGTTTGATAACCAGAAGTGTTAGATAACAAAAGGGTTAGCTAAAAGTAAAAAAGGTGTATAACCAAGAAAGCCTAAATTCTCAAAGCTTTTCACCTAAACAAGTCACTCAAATTTAAGCCTATTCTATCTCTTAATCTTAGATTAAGTTTGCAAATTTCAATAGTTAGGTAAAACTATGTTCATGCTGACCTTTTTATAGACACATGAACTAATGAACTTTCAAAAAGAAATTTAGGTCAAGCGAGTTTTAGTGTTTAAGAAAGGTATATTGTTTGTCCTTTAATATATTTTGGACATCAATTTTGTCTTTAAATTTTATTGTATCTATAAAACTCAAATTAATGATCAACTTTTTTAAGAATCAATTTAGTCCTCTATAAATTATTGAGTATTTAATTACTCTATTTAAGATATTGTTGAGTGTGTGGATGAATTGGCACAATTTGTTTCAGCTTAACTAAATTTAGAGAGTATTTATTTACTTTTTTTTTTTTTTACATCTATTTTGTCTTTAAATTAATGCTTATTATATCTATAAAAATCAAATTAATGATCAATTTTTTTTAAGAATCAATAGTCCTTTATACATTATTTTAAGTATTTATTTACTCTATTGAAGATATTATTGAGTGTGTACATCAATTAATTTGTGATATACAACTGAATCAAATATTTAAAAAAAATTACCTTCTATCGAAGATACTTAAGATCTAGATTAAAAACTTTACTCTATTTGAAATGCATATCATAGAAGAACCTAAAATGGATCACTCTACAACCTTAAGGAGTGAATATTGGCTATCAGCAAAATTGACCTATTGTTTTGAAGTCTTGATAAAGTATTCTTAAAAGATGAGAAGGATTAAATTATATTCATATAAATTACACTAATTCTTACATATTTTGATAAATGTTTATTGGACAATTTCATTGTAAAATTAATTTTTAGATTAAAATTTTCTAAAGTACAGGTCATACCATATCTATATTAAAATTAAGGTAATATATATTTTTGAAATAAATAAAAGTAAAAATCATTATATTACAGTCTTACAGAGATTTAATTTTAATAACATTTGACACAAATAATCAAGGTAATATATAATTATAATTAAATAATTGAATTAAAAAATATTTTATCTAAAATTACCAATGATACGAGAATTAATATAACTTATATCAATATAATTTAATTCTTTTCCTTGAAAAAATAGTTTGCTTTTAAAGGATTTTTTTTTTACACAATTAAAAAATTTTATTTCATTCTCTACCCTTTCATCCAAAAAAAGCGCATGACTGAGAAAAAATAATTACTATTCACCCTCTTACAAACAAAATCAGTTAACAATGAGCGGTCGGAACCCTTAAAAACATGAGGAGGAAAATTATAATCTTAAACAGTGCCGTGGCCTCAAGATTTATAGCATGTTTTGAACCATGATAAATAAACACTGGATTCACGTTTGTAACAACACTACTGGTAATTGCTTCTGCGTGAACGTGGATTGAAATCTACACTCAAGATATTACCAAACTCAAGCATTTAATCAAACCATAATCATGCAATTATTTGTCAGGACAATGAACGTGGCACCTGTTGCACATTATTCAAATCTCTTATTTTACAACTATGCAATTATAATTTATAAGAAACATGACATTAATGGGGGATACCTAGAAAGATAACTAGTCATGTGATGTTAGGAATCCATTAGACGCTTCCAACAAAATCAAGAGTTAGGATTACCATAACCATCAGCTCAGCAAGAGTAATTTGACACTCGTTTTAGTACTTCTATTGTCGAGTGAAATTTAGGTAAATCTCATCAAGAGAAATATTTAAAAAATAGTATTAATGAATATGTAAAATAGCATATTCCTATTCTGTGCTCACTAGTCATAAATGATAGACATTGACCTGTTCCAAAGATTATTCTTAAGCTCTGAAGTGCTCGTATATGGGACGTGGAAAAAATCATTGGAAAGTGGAAATAACATCTCAAGAAAATTCAAGATTTTATTCCTTATATTTACATCTACAATTTGTACAGTACGCATAAATGCATGCTGAGAATGAAAGCTCTTGCATCTGACAAAGAAATATGCTGACATTAACGTGCAAAACAAAACAGAGCCTAGTCAGGCATGATATCTGTCACTATGAAAACCTTTTTAGGTCTAAAGACAAAACAGTGTTGCAGTTAGAAGATGATGGTGATTGGTAGGGATATTTATCCTATCGTTACATGTCGAAGGACCCCAACATTCTGGATCCATTGCTATCGCCAAGGTAAACGTGAATCCAAAACATTGTCCAGAAGTGAAGTTGTAAGCTATATATATATATATATCAAAAGAATTTACTCAAATATTAATCTGAGTAAACTATCACACATTTCCTTTGTTGAAAATCATACCTTCCATTCCTTGGCCTTCTTTAGGAATTCGGAAATACACATTTGAGATCTGCAGATCAAATATAACAGAAACAGGAACTGGTAGTTACCTCATGTTGCAAATTATAAGAAATAAAGGGGACATGGAAGTATATTAATTAAGTGCGTGAATTTGTGTCACAAATTTGAAAATACAAAGGAAGCTCAGTATACAGCAGATCAGTAAATAAAATTTGTTTGCTGATTGCTTAAACATGGCACAAAAAGAAGATAACTTATGAAAGAATTCTATCCTAACATTCTCAAACAAGTACCAAGACCACAGAAAAAGCAGAAGTTACATGTGAACCCTCACCAAATAAAACTCCACTTCTAATTAACTTCTTTCTATAATACCACCAGTGAACAACTTTTCCTCACTAGCTTTTGGATTCACTGCTTTCCGTAGAATGTCTTCGAATATCAAACTGGTCTACAAACTCCAAAGGAGTAACCGTCTCATTTCTGATTCTCTTGATCTTAGGGCTTAACAGACCACGATGCCTGAATCCATAGAGTTTGAGCACCTGATTGTCAGCAAAATTGAAAGCCCTCTCCATGCTGCTAAGACACCTCTCAACAGGATAATCTCCATAGCTTCCACACGGCTTACAACCCACAAAATGCGTCACAAACGGCCACCTCTCATCCCCTAACCCCGGATGATACTTATCAATCATCTCCTCATACCGATCAACCAACCCTGCCCAGTAACCGTGCAAATAGTACGAATTCTCAAGAAACACCTTATCCATCCACTTCTCCTTCTTGGACAGCAACAAGTAAATCAAAGCAGACTGATCATCCGCCTCAAAAGCAGGCCTCCCCTTCAGATTCGCAGTCAAGATCTTCCCGGCCTCTTCACGAACCGGCCCCTTGGGACCCATTGGAGCCCAATCATCAAGCAAATCCAAAGACCACTGACAATTCCTGAAAAGAAAGCTCCCAGTATTGACAGCAATCCAAGACTTTTGCTCGAACAACAAATCAGGGTACCCATGGAGAACCAAATTATAGTCATCATACTTAGACAAAGGAAGTTCAAACACCATATCAGTAAAAAAAGCATCACTATCCATCCACCAAATCCACTCCACCTCAGGGTGAGACAACATTAACCTCCGAATCATAGGCAATTTGGCCCAATACCCAGCAAGCTCAATATCCAAATGTGCCAAATTATACACAATTTCAATCCCATGTAATCTACAGTAATCAATCTTGTTCTTAATGGACTTCAACAAGTAATGATCCCCAATGGGGTTATCACAGGGCTTGGGAGGGGACCCAGTGAGAAGCAAGATGCGAGCTTTACCTCTGATGTAGTTAGGGTATTCAGGGTTTTGAAGGAGCCATGATTTGCGCTCAGAGTCCCAGTTAGAGATCTTGGGGCCAAGGGTGAAGGTAACGTTAGGGTTGAAAGGGGTTTGGTCGTCGGGATCCGAGGGGTCGGCGTCCGATCGGATCTCGGCGAGGATGCGGTTAGTCTCTTCGATGAGGTTCTGGTTGACGGCGTCGGCATCGGAGGAGCCGAGGTTCACGCCGATGGTGCCGCGGAGAACGAGGATGGTGACGAAACCACAGAGGATTGTGATCTTTATGTTGTTAAACGTCTTCTGGATCTGCCGTCCGCGTGGAATCGCGTTTCCGCGGTTTCGAGCGTTTGAGGTTGGCAAGTTGCTTCTCTTGTGATTCTCTTGCCCCATTTCGTAACTGTGATTCTGTTCTTCAATTTGGGGAACGAAACGAATCAATGAACACAGCAAGGGTAAGGGTACTTCGCGAAATGCATAAATAAATAATATAACTTTTAAGGGATGAAATTGAAGGGAAGTAAGAAACAGTGTTTGTTGAAGGGAGAGCAGAGAGCAGAGAGGAACTAGCCTAGAAAGCGAGGTTTTGAAACAATATCATTGATTTAGAACAAGAACAAAAGGAAGAGGGAAAGAATAGGACTATGGAGAAAGACGTGGTTTTTTTTAGTGGGGGATCCAAGTTCTTTAACTTATAAACAATCATAATCATAATAATGCTCTTCATCATCTTAATACATTTTGCTTTTTTGCAATATTTAATACACGTATCAAATGATTTATTGTTGAATAGATCGTTTTTCTTTTTTAACCTTATTTATCTCTTTTTTGTTTGGATTTCCTATTATGGTCGAAGAAAACTAGAATAATAAATTTGTTTCTACTTTTGGGATAAAATCACCGAATGAATATATAGATTGGGCCCATTGCAATTTTTTGAATATTTAAAATTCATCAATAGCATTTCTTTGGGCCGAAAAGAAGTCCAACATATTCCCTCTATCCGACAAGTTAGAAGACACAAGCAAGTTTCAACCAGACACTTCATACAGCATTAGATTTAGGCATGACTAATAGGAAAAAGTTAAACCCAAGATAGAGGCATAATCTTTGATTATTGTCAAACTAGAGAATAAATAAATTAAAAACATTGACATATATAATATATGCTAGTTTGTATTAGAGGGAAAAAGAGAAAACCACCAAGATATTTTAGACAAAAATAATACTGAGGAAAGGGGAGAAGAATTACACCCCACCCCACGTATCTATCTACATGTAGTCTAATCAACGCCCGATCCAGCTTTGGCCGTTCTGGCAATGGACCCAGGTTGTCTTTGCTCTGTTACGCACTTCGTAAATGAATTGCTTTACAACATCCACTTCGTAGTGTCAACGCGTTCCTCAGTTGTTAGCATCTTCTAGGAAGAACCAGACCACATGGATGAAAAGGGAGCGCGTGGATTCCACTTCCATTATAATAGTATGTTACATTGCATTGGAGAGTGGCAACTTGCAACGTGGGTGATGTCCAACAGCCAAAGGTACCCCACACAATATCCCCATTACTTAAATTATGTGTCATGGATGGCCCATGTGCGGGGTTTCAAGATCTTGCTCTTGCTCTCGCTCTGTGAAACTCCGTTTTGCAACACTGTCATGAGAGACTCTGCCACTGTCCCACTGTCCTAACTAGAGATAGTTTGATAAAAGGTACATGCAATTCGAAAAGAAAAAAAAAGGAAAAACGAGCATTTTAATCATGCTAAAATAAACTCAAAAACTTATGTTTGATCCTAGAGAAAACTATAACAATTGACACGTGTTGTTGTTGACACTTCAACATCTTTATATAGTATTCTTATAAAGTAAAAAATAATGATGTTTGAAACTTATTTGAGAAACATTATTTAACTCATACAAGGTATATTTTCACAAATTCTCTTTATGCATACTGTATTTACATAATCCTTTAAATATGCATCTCGTGTCACATAGCATTAGATGAAACTGGCGGTACCGGTTTCAGATTGCAACTAAATTGCAAATATTACAATAATGTGTCGGCATGTTTACCATTTGCAATTCTAAGAATTAAGAGTAACCGGCAGAAGAGGAAACAAAAAGCTTTACAGGCATCAACCTTCCCTGTTATTTAATAAACATGCTAGAAGAAAATTTCCCAGGCCAAGTTGACCAGGTAGATCATAAATTGTCTAGCGGTCCAGGGAAACAGCATATGGCACGAAATTGTATGGCTAACATATGTAAAAACATAGAAAAATATGAACTTGAACTAACAGAATAAGCAGCAGTTTAACTGAGATCACAAAGATTTTTCATGCATGATGTTGAATCCAATGACAAAGAGAGCATACAGTTAATAAGCACAAACCTGTAGTAATAGAATATTAATCTATTATAAGCAGGCAGCAATGATAAATTGTTAATTAGAGAAAAATGGCAGAAGAGAGCTGGAACAAGGACTACAAAACTTACAAATTATGTTTTAGCAGATTTCTTTTACTTCTTTTTCTTCTTCCTTGCAGTATATTTTTTTCTCATCATTTTCCCTACAAATTTTGTAACTTTCGGTGGGGTCTTGGCTATTGAGCTGTCCACAAGGCTGATTTTTTCTGGCCTTTTAGGTTTGAAAACTTCTGTTATTGAAGGGTCCAAAACATCCCTTGTGCACTGGAGAGTGATGCCCAAACACGTGGCTTCATCCCAAAGCTCTCTTCCCTTTTCAAAATCCCCTCCTCTACAAAGTTTTGGAATGAGCACATCATAAACTGGTCCATAACCTCCCAAAGAGCTTTTCTTCATTTTCTCAAACAGTTCAAGAGCATGATTTACCCTTTCAACCCCACAGAGGATGCCAATCAAACTGTAGTAAAACTTATAATTTGGTACCAAACCTTTTCCAATCATTTGATCCACCGTCTCTTTCCCTTTACCAAACCTGCCACTCAGAAACAACACCTTTGCCACAAGATAATAGCTGACCCAATCCGGATCACAGCCAGAATTTTTCATTGTTTCAAGTATTTGACAAGATTCCTTGACTCTTCTGGTCTTCCCTAGACAAGAAAGCAGTATGTTATAACTGATTGAAGTTGGGAAAACCTTATAAGACCTCATCTCCATCATCACATTCAAAGCTTCAGGCACAAGTCCTGAAGGATTATGTCTGAGATTCCGTTCACAAAGGCACCTGAGGAATGTGTTATAGCAAGATAAATCTGGGATAACCCCATTTGATTTCATCTCTTTAATAATTCTCCTAGCTTCCTTCACATTCCTCTGCACAGACCAACCATAAAGCAGACTTCTATATATACACGGTCTTGTGCCTTCAATCTTGTCTTTGTGATGCCAAACTACCCCTTCAGCCCTCTTAGAATGCCCTTTGGAACAAAGGGCATTGATGATAGCAGTAACTGTAAACTCATCTATAGGGCAGTTATATTTGTCCAAGTTCTTGAAAATACCCAATGCCTCATCTTCTTTTCCCAATTTAACTAAACTCTCAGCTACAAGACCAAAAGTCTGTGCATCCATGATTCGACCCTCCTTCTTGAGGTCTCCCAGCAAGATATCCATTGCTATGTAGTCTTTCTTTTCAGCGAAAACTCGAAGAGCATAATTATAATCCTTGTTTTCTAAATTATGACTTAAGTTCTTACCAGACCATAAGAAGAACCTAAGCAATCTTCTAGTGTGTGCCTCATGCTTACTAGAATCAATAACCTGAGCTACAAGAGATGAAGTTAAAGAACCTTTGAACTTATTTAGATTTAGCTCAAGATCATCTAACCCACCAACAGTGCTCATGACAATGCTGCAGAGCTCTTGCAACTGTGCAGGAGCAGATATTGGTGGCAATGTGGAGTAGTGGGAAACTGCAAGTAATTGAAAATTCTGGGTACTCATCATATTTTGAAGCGAAGAACGTTTCCATGCAGATTTCAACAAGACATGCATATTGAATTTCATTTGAGAAATTCATCAAACATGTTATGTGCATAGTTTGTAACTCAAAAACTTGAAACACATGTTGTGTGATAATCAACCCACACAGTACGTTAGCTGGAAAAGTAATATGCTGCCATCTGACCCCCAAAATCCAAACTTTTGGGACAAGGAACGAACCCCTTCTCTTAAATTTTACGGTTCGAAGCTGAACTTTAGACGTTGGGGATGAATATATGAATAATTAGAGATGGTGTCAGGTCGATTGAAAAAGGGATCAAAACAAGAGTTCTAAAAAATATTAACATAATTTCGGTACAATTTATTATTATTATTTTAATTATAATGCATGCTAAACTGTTAATTACGTGTATCTGTAAATAAGATAAAACTTAATTACAATTGCTCAGACGCTGTGAGTACTATTTATCATTTTAATAACATCTTATAATGTTAAAATAAATATTTTATTAAAGTAAAATGTTAATTTTAATTAATAAATAATACTAACAATAGCACTTAAGGTTCTTAAAAAAAATTGATAAGGTGAGTGAAAAATAAGAAACCACTAGGTGGGTGTCAGCGTTATAATGTGACCAATCCTTCATGGTAATAAAATTGACATTTTAAGTCATTTTTTTACAAATGCCAATGAAATTATATTATATTACATCATTTAAATTGTTCAAGGTAGGATGTAATAGATTGAAATAAAACAAAATATATTTTATTCTGTTTCTTTTCTTCTTCTTTTTTTGGTCTAATTTTGAAACTGGAATTCACTATAAGTTTCTCCAAGTTTAGACCACCCCTCTAAAAAGATTAATACTTTTTCAGGCATACCAACCACAATGTTTAGTCTCCTCTTCTCATTAGAACAACTGGGTATTCTGTTATCACTATATATAACTATGCAGTGTAGGTTATTGTGGTCTTGTGTACACTTAGTATTTTTTTAAACCTTAATTTTTCCACCTGTTTTGATAGAAAAATATAAAAGAAATTATTTTGTTACTAGAATAATGAATAAAAATAAAAAATATCACACACTATAACATGGCATACAACACATTCTAGTGTGTGGAGGTTATAGCCCAGGTGCAAATATGAGGTGAGATTAAACAAATATGAGGCTAGACTTATGATTATATGTATTTATTAGCATATCTAATTGGAAGGATACAATACAAGGATGCTTCACATGTGTCACTTGTTGAAGATGCTTCACATGCTAAAATATAACGTGTTTTACCTTTATTATACACAAAAGAAGCACCATTGAGTTAATCTTGTAATTAGTTTTTAAAGTGTATTGTTTTGATAAATATTTTTTAAAATTGGAGTATTGTAGTTAAAAAAATTAGAGAAAGCCAGCTTAATGATCGCAAGGTGGTCCAAAGAGACATGGTTTGCTATTATATGTCAAATCCACATTATTGCCATTTGTCATGGAATTTCGGGAAAAGCAAGTACTATACTACTGGCTCAGGTAAAAATAAATAAAAAGTTTTGTTAACTTTCTTCCTTATATTTAATTTAAAAATTTTTATAAAAAAATATATAATTATTATATTATAGTTATAAAAATATAATAAATATAATTTTTTAATAAAATTTTAGTATAAGTAACTGCTTATCTTTAGTCTTTAAGATTAAAATTAACAAAAATCATAAATAAAATTTGACAGATCTATCCGATAGTTGGAACTTGGACGGTGCAATTTAATGTACGAGGTTACCTTCTTGTTAGGCCCTGAGGGGAGCATCCAGGACGGCGTTTAAGCTTATAGTGTGTAATAATTTATTTCTTTTGGATGATTTCGGTGAAAATAAATCAAATATTGTGGATCATGTTTTAGTAAAAGAAATTCCACACAAATAAGAAAGCAAGGTTTGTCTTCATATCATATGCACAGGATTGATTGGAAAGTGAAATTTTAGATGAGAAAAAAAAGAAGACAAATTTTATATTTTAAATAAATATTTTTAAAATTAATATTTTTTATAAAAAATATTAATCAATATATTAACATAAATTTAATATATTAATAATATATTTATCCTTATAAATAATATTTTTTAAATTAAAAATTATGTGATTTTTTCACTTCTCTAAAAACTTCTTTCCAAATATACCCTGACTCGCCTGCCTCAAGCCCTTTTCTTTTCTTGTTCAAGATTATTAATTTTAGGAACTGCCAACAATATAAAATTAACAAAAAGAACCAACTAAACTAACCATTCTGAGTAGTCATTGCTGTTTAAGGGAACGATTATTAATCCTTCACTTTGAATATGTAAGTAATCAATTTTTGAATGAATAATCTCATTCTCAATTCTTTTATTATTATTTTTTTCGCCATTGAAGAGGTGTTTATTCTGTGGTTCTAGATGAGAATGAGGGACATCCATGAGTAACCAGAAAATTTAAAGGTCTGAAGATCAGTTGAACTACAAACATGAAATGGAACCAACTTTACAACATAATCAATATTTAATCTATAATCTATCAATTTTGGCATGTAGTATCTAACCTACACTTAAATCTCATCTTCCTTCTATTTGCAATGAAGGATCAATTTTTTGCAAACTAATTTAATCCCTGCATTCTGCTGAAAGTCATACGGATCTAAGGAGAAGAAGGCATCAACAAACGTCCCAGGCATGAACAAGGAACCAAGTTCTGCAGCATCGAACTTGCTGAAGAGAAGTCTTTGCACTGCACCAGTCGATTCTCTTTGATATATTTCCGTGGCATAAATGGCAACATCTGCCACTACTGCTGTAGGTATACTGTCAAATAAATGTTACAAAAATCAGAGATATTCTCATTGAGAAAAATCCTAACTGCTTGCCAATTAGGATCACCAAAGCGGTAATTTTGGATTAATTTATCTATTCAGTTTTTGGTATTTCTTAACCAGCTTTAGCCCCGCAAGCAGAGAGGCTGTTTCCAAGATGATTTGAACCCCTCTAGGCCAACCTTAACCTTGCACCAAGGCACGCCTCATAGACCATAAAAACAATAAAAGAATAAATTGATGCATTGATTTATAAAACCAGGTAAATTGAAACAATATTGGAGAAAGCTTTCTACGATGCTTCACACTCAATAGGCACAGTGGTCATGTGAAACTGAATGCCCAATTTTGAGGATAGCATTATCCCCCATTAGATATGCTGAAGTGAGGCAATCATTTTCATTGATAAAATAAAATAAGAGGTCAAGAACTTACTGCAATCTGACAGTGGGATAGTTGAAGAAGCCCTCTTTCCTAATAACAACTGGCCTCCAATCAGAGCTGCTACCAGAATCTGAGGATAACTTCTGTGCAACACGGTCACATGCATCCAGAACATTACATAAACTTGGTGATGGATCAACCACTAAACTCAATCGTGGCCTACCAGCATTATCAACAAACTTTGTGTTTATTCCAAAACGCACTTTCAAACTAGCACAATGAAGCTGAAATTGGTAACCTTCGTGCAGTAACTCTATCCTTTGACTGCCTCGGAAACATGGAACAAGAGATGCGTCAATAGAAGGGATACATATTTCATCGGGTACTAAAACAAGAGAGCTGCTGCAAGGCTGAGACAAAGAAGACGAGGAAGACAAATCAGGTGACTCTTGCATGGGTTTTCTCTCCATGGCAACATTTGACTGAACAGTTTCTCTTGTTATTTCATGCTCAAGAGCACTCAAGTTAAAAGGATCCGACTGAACTGTATTAGGATCTGCAACATTTGGGACATCCCCATTTGCGTTGCTCATTGTCAAATAAGATATTGGATGACTTTTATTTTCAGCTGCAGGAGATGATAACAATACAGAATCCTTATTGATATTTAATAAACCCCCCTCCGAAGGAGATTTCCCATTAACACGGCTTCTTGTAGTAGCATTTGGTGAAATCCAACAATTTGTAGTGAATATATCTGGGAGACTTGACTCCTGTAAGACCAGAGATTATCATTATTTTTATGACAAGGTCTCAACTATTAATGCAAAATACATAATAATATCATGGAGGAAAGCTTGGAAATTCATATAGAGTAAAAAAGAAGTACTTAGTTCCTACTACTCACTAATGATTTGAAAACATCCTAACTACAACAAGAATTGTTGTTACGGCAATGGCAGAGTTGTTGCAGAACAAAAACAAGACAATTGAATTACAAATTACCAAGAATAGAACCGTTGCACAGTATTTGAGGACTTCGAGATTCATCCGAACATCATCTAAACTCCTGAAGATTCATAGCAGAAAACATTAACAAATAATAACACAGCAAAACGACACAAACTCAAAGATTTTTAAAAAAATCCCTGGGCCCTGGCATGGCATTAACAGAGTTACCTATGTGTCTGTCGTCCAAGCCCAAAATAGGTTGCAAGAGTAGCCATCTGCAGTGAAACATTACATACAAATAAGTCACAACTTAGACACAATAATTTCATTCACATAACCATAAGGTGCAATGCACATTTAAATGGTATAACCATAACCTAACAAGAATACAAATGCATATAGTGATATAAAAAACTACAATTATTGTGATTATGAAGAATACCTTCATGTCACCAGCTCTTCTTCCAAACTTCTGAGTCAACAAAACTAAAGAGTCAACAGTACCCTTCGGTTCAGGTGGCGCCTGATTTATCTCAGCAAATGCATCTCTGATCCGAACACAATCAAACCTTAAAATATTATGACCCGCCCAAATTCGCCCTACACAAAATTCACAAACCCACCGGGTCGAATCCGGATTAAACCGGATGGGAAACGACAAAAAAAATAAATTCACAAATCCACGTCAAAAACCAAACTTTCATTACGTTTACCCCTAAACCCATAGCAGGGTAAAGGGGTTTATCAAATACAATGGATAAAGGAAAACAAACCGTGAAGAAGGTCGTAGACGGCGTAAGCAATGTCGGCGAAAGTAGGAGCGGAGGCAACGGCGTCGGGGGTGATACCGTTGCATCGCTCCGACAACGGCGAGATGACGGAGAGGTTGGCGGGTCGGACGAGAGTGGAGTAGTTTCGGAGCTCCGTGAGCTTCCTGGGGCAAACCAAAATGGCTCCGAATTCGAGAATTGCGAAGCCCTGACCGGGTCGGGTCGGAACGCTGGTTTCGACATCGAAGAACACAATCTCTGAACGATCTTCAGCGGGAGAACCCATTTCAGAAATCGACGGAACAGTGAAAACAGAATTGATAGTTACTTGTTTTAAGTTAAGTTGAACACTTAACGCGCCAACATATATAGTATTAATGGGCTTGTGTTTGGGCTTGTAGAGGCCCATCATTCAAGTTATTACTAACCCGCATTTGAGGTTGAATAGAGGTGCAGTTTTGGTATCTCCTTTGCTATGGATGTCGTTGGAAGTTAGTTGTTAGTTATTCTTTACTTCATCAAATGTATCATAAGAATATGAAAACGGAGTATTACAAGTTATTAGAAGTTTGTTTTTTTATATTTTATTTTCTATTCTTATTTTTAACCTTTTAAATTATTTATAATTACACAAAATCCTCCTTATTTGCTCCATCTCTTAGGTTAGAAGTTAGATCTGTCGCTCATGTTCACTCTCTTTTCCATTGTCTACTTATTTAATTAATTGGATGATGACAAATACATAAATGTTTAACTATTTAATAGATTGATAATTAATTAAATAAATATTAATTTACTTTTTAAATGAATGAAAATAAGTAAATAAATAAAGTGAGTGATATTTAATTCTAAAATTATATTAATGTAATATTATTTTTTTAATTATTTAATATATTTTAATTAATTATATGATTACATAATCAAACAACTTTATTTTAATTAATTAGATGTAAAATATATGGCACGGTGGTTTCTCCATTAAAAATGGAGAAGCACACATGCTCAGCCACTTTATGCGAAAGCCATTATTCTTTAATTTCAAAAGAATGGAATTACAAATATTCTTCAAGTAGGGCTAATAAGCTTTAAAAAACAATTTTTTCTTAAATATCTTATTATTTACTAAAAAAATTATAATTCATTTTAACGTGCTACATCACTAAGTCGTTGTTTGATTCTCTTCTTAGTTTTTTAATTTTAAAAACTTGTCTTTTAACAGAAAAGAAAAATTTGTTTGCATCGTGTTTTCTCATGTTATTTTCTGTACATGTAAGGGTGCTTTCTGATATTTTTGTTTAATGGTTTTATTGTAAATATAAATATGCCACCGCACTAATGATTTAAAAGAAAAACATGAAAGAGCCTTTGAATTCATGCATTAGCCATTTTAAAAACAGAAATCAAACAGCTCCAATTTGAAAGCCAATCCAATTCTTTCTTCTTCTTTTTTTTAATTACCTATTGATTTGTTGTATTTTTTTTTTCAAGATTTTATTGATTTGTTTATTTCAAGGCATTGCCCCTAAAGGGCCAAAATATATATGGTTCTTTGTATTTAAACCATCTAGTTTTGGAGTGTATTTGAACATATAAAAATTATTATTGTATATAGTTATATCTATTTTTTTATACATGCTTCTTAAAGACATTCTTTAAAATAATAAAAAATACTAAAAGATATCTTACCTTGAATATATAAAAATATTTTCTACAAAAAAAAAACTATATTTTCTGATTATTTATTCTCATTAATTCTTCTAATCAACCTTTATATATAAATTGTGAGTACTAATTTTCAACAAGAGCATTTTTAAAAATATTATTAAATGAGAGTCAAGGCAAGTAGCCTTTTCATATTATGTATTCATTTTAATTTTAATTTTAAAGTTTAAAAAATTAAAAAATATTTAATATAATAAAATATTTATTATTATTAATTATAATACTTTCTCTTTTAAATTTAAAAACAGTCATATAATATTCATATCTTCAATGTATAAAATGTATTGAATTTTTTTCATTAGGGAGATTAGGAATTATTCTTTCCATAAATACAAGTCCTCTTTTTGTTTTTGGTGAACTTTCTACTTCGCCCACTTGAGGTTCACTTACCGACCTTCAAATGAACGTCAAACTCAAGTACAATTGCCACAAAATAGAGCTACAACCATAATCTAATAAAAGACTCTCCCAGCTCAAATCAAAACCAACCAAAAATCAACCATGTTAAAGAAAAAATGATGGAGCTTGTAAAATTGATCTTCCTTTGCTTGAAGCTTCCACCAAGATAACCACAACATGCAACCCACTGTTGGACATATCCCATCTCCCCAAAAAGAAAGTACGGGCTTGGATATCTCACCTTATATTTTATTATAACGTTAATCTCAACTTTTAGGATTAAGTTTAATAACAAATAGTAATAAAATTTTATTAAAAGAACATATTTATTATCATTTTATTATTTTAATGTAAAAAATATTTTTTTTTTATAAAAAATTATTACTTCTAAATGTTTAAACTCATCCCTAGGACTTGAGGTTAACGAAACCTTATATATAAAACAAAATTCAAATAAAAACTAAAGAAGAGGCCCTAATAGTCAGTGCAAGAGGAAAGGATTTAGAACGAAGAAACCAGAAGGCACAAAGAATATCAATAATGAACTATTTACAACAATTGTTTTGTTTTACAAGATTTTTCAGGGAGAAATGTGATTTGATCGCTTTTGTCCTATCTTAATAAAATGTCAATGTTTCTATAGTGCCTGCAAGAATTCTTCATCACTTTCAAAGACAACATGACAAAAGGAACACCTGCGGCAAAATTATACAAGCATTCCTCCTTATACTAGTACTTGCACTAACAATTACTACCAGGCACTCTGAAAACCAGAAAACATGCACTTGCCTCCTGAAAAGATATTGAAAAATATAATTGTAGAACAACAATTATATTCATACTCTTTCATAGTACTTTCACATCCCATCCACGTCATTTTTCTCTTTATCTCTATTTTCCTATCACTTTTTCACTTTCTCCCCTTTTTCTTTTATCTCTCGTCTTTCATACACCCAAAAATGGTGTGTAATGTATGACTAATGTAATTCCTTGTAGAATCAGTATGCATGAGGCAAAAATTACATTCTTCTTCCTACACCTCAACATCCAAGAAAACACTTGTTATGTCTGGTTCAGAGACTTCCAGATTGGCATGCTTGATGATATCACGAAAGATTTCATACATAAAAGACGAATGCTTATGAGTCATATCACCTGCCACAAAATTATGGACAACTCCATCAATTTGGATCCAACTTTCGCCTGGAGGCTTCTTCACACTCATCTCAATCATTTTCTGCCTTACTGTAATGACATCCTGCCACCTTTGGGCAAAAGCATATATGTTTGACAAGAGCACAAGATAGCCTGCAGCTTGATCAGGGTTGAGCTCAGCAACTAACTTGTTTTCCACTCGTGATGCTAGTTCTGAATTCTTGTGTATTTGACAACCGCCAAGGAGGGCACCCCATAGTGCATCATTAGGCTTTAAGGGCATAGTTTCAATAAGTCCACATGCTTCGTCTAAGAAACCAGCACGGCTCAAGAGATCAACCATGCATCCGTAGTGTTCAATCCTCGGGCTGATTCCCCAAGTATGCTTCATGGATGCAAAAATTTGGCGTCCCTCGTAGACAAACCCTGCATGGCTGCAAGCACAAAGAACTCCAATGAAGGTTCCTTCATCAGGTCTTACTCCATTTACTCCCACACCATCACAAAGCATAGTCCTAAACATATCAAAGGCTTCCTTTCCAAGGCCTTGTTTTGCAAAAGCCATGATGATGCTGTTCCAAGACACAGTGCTTTTCTGAGGCATCTTGGCAAACACTTGATAAGCTGCATCAATGAGTCCACAACTACCATACATGTGTATGAGCGCATTGTTCAAGTGCACAGAGGGATGCTGCTGGTTCCTTGCAACAAACCACTGCTGAACGTACCAATGGATCCATCTTCCCAATTTCAGATCCCCCAATTCAGCACATGCTGACAAAGCTGCCACCAGTGCCACCTGATCCAATTCCACATGCGCTCTCCTCATCTCACCAAACAACAACAAAGCTTGTTTGGACTTGCCATTCTGAGCACACCCAGCAACCATGGTGGTCCAAGAGACAACATTCCTATGTGGCATCTTGTCAAAAACCCTTCTTGCCCCATCAAAATCACCACACCTAACATACCCAGCAAGTATAGAATTCCAGCTTACAACACTTCTCTGCTTCATATCATCAAACACATGACGTGCTTGCTCAACCCTACCGCGCATGGCATAGAAATTGATCAAATTAGTGTCTACAAAGACATTGGAGCAATACCCTTTTACCAAAACTGTGCCATGGACCTGTTCCCCTTCTCTTACCAACCCACCTCGCGCACACGCACTCAAAAGAGACGAGTAAGTGAACCCATCAGGCACAGCCTCAGCGAACACCATCAGGTTGTAACATTCCACCGATTTCCAAGGCATTTGGGTCCGTGCATAGCCTCTGATCACGTGGTTCCAAACGGTGGAACTTGGGTTATCCATTTTCGCAAAAAGGTTGTGGGCATGTTGGAGATGACCAGAGGCTATGTAAAAAAACAGAAGCCTGGCAATGATGTTGTTCTTGTGAGAGAGACCGTTGAGAACTACTTGGCTATGAATTTGTATGAGGGTCCCTACGCTGTTGCAACTCTGCAATAGGGAGAAGACGTGCTCTTGAACACCTCTTTTGCCGCTTGCATGAACCAAACTTTTCATCAACATACGGGTTTGTTTCATGCTAAGCTTGTCTTCTAGGTACGACGGTAGAACATAGAACTATGTTTTCACGGGAATTTTTGCTAATATTGAATTTTTACGTGTTTTATTCATTTTTTTTTTCACGACCATGTCAAGTTTTATAAATATTTATGAATAGAGAAAAACGCACAAACAAAAGATATGTTCCATTTGCACGAAGTATTAGTTTAAGAAGGTAACTGTCATATATTTTTGTAATATCACTGAAAATTAGTTAAGATGTGATTCTGACGAGACAGGGTGTTTTAGTTATATGTCAAATTAATTTAAACATGCATAGTTTTAATGCTACAGGTTATAATTTTTACGTTAAAACGTGGTTTTAAATTATTTTATTAAACTTTTAAACATGCACCAAGAGATTCATTGATCATGTAAGGAAAAAGGATATAAGAATGTAGATACTTTCAAATGAAAAAAATAAATAGAAGTATATGTCTCATTGATTTAATTAAGGCATTTCATTTAAATAAATTAAAGGTCTATTTATTTAAAATTATAAACTGAGATTATATTTTTTTTTTCCAATGCAAAAGCATACTTCTTAATTTGATCACCTTTTTTTCAAATAAAAAATATTTAGGTAATATGTTTTTAATTTTTTGAAATATTATTGAATTTATTTTTAATTATCCAAAAAAATTAGTTTTTTTGGGGTCCGCGTGGGTTTTAAAATATTTTAAAATATTTTTCATTATCAGTTTATCACTTAAAAATGACATGTATGCATCTAAACATGTGATTATCACCCTAAAATAGTTATCGACGTAGCATAACTAAATATCATGTTATCATAAAGCGATAATTGAGATCATATTTAAAATTTATGTGGATTGAAATAAATAAAATGAAGTTAAAAAAAAAAATTTCTTAAAAATATTACAGTTTTTTATTTCAATTTTAGTTCTTAAAAATTATAAAATTCACACAATTTAAATATTTGATGAGAGACTTAAACTAAAAAAAATATTTATAGAAACTAAAAATATAATATTTTAGAGACTAATAATTTATTTGAATTAAAATAAAAGTAATTTATTTGTAGCAATGCAAAGCATGACAAATGGGCTATGGCATACAATAAAGCACAATCTTCTCTTCACGAATAATAAGATGTGATGAGAAAGATGCAATTTTCGGGTTAACCCGTGCATGGGACACATTCTTTTCAACAAATAATTGCTTTAAAGTTCTTTTGAGAAATTAATAAGAAATAAGTATTTTATATTAAAAAATTGAATTAAATGCGTATATTCTTAAACAATTTCTATGATTGATTACAGAAAATAAATAAATTGGTTCAGGATTACTTTTATTTTGATTACTATTGGATTTGATAATTTAACTTCTTAAAAATATTAAATAAATATTAATATACTTTATTGACCAAGTCAAACAAGATAATTACAAGTATTCTAAAATTTAGGTGATCCACTACTGCGTCCCTTGATTATTAGTTTAATTGTATTCAATTCATACACAAGTACATGGCGAGTGAGGTTTTGCACCAGCATAGGCGCGTGCATGTTTGAAAAAGTTTTCAAAATTAAATGATTTGTTAATTTTAAAAGTTTCTCATAAAAACCAAACAACTATTTACTTAATCGTCAATACATGTTTGGAAAGTGTTTCTATGTCATTTTATGCTACCAGAGACAAGATGTGTTAATAATATGTTAATAGATATTTTAAAGATATTGTTAATGAATTTAAAAAAAATTTAATAATTAATATATTAAAATATCAATTTTAGAAATGGTTATCACTTATTAACAAGGAAGAAACTATTTTGTTAGCTAATAAATATTTAAACTCTCAAAATTATATCTATTTTATCTTAATATGAGTATTTTTTTTTTAATATTTCAGTGTAAGTATTAATTTTTTTTTTATGTATATAAGTTTTGAGTTCTCCTTAAACTCTCTCTAATAATATATATTTTATTTATAAAAAAATATATTAAAATATAAAAATATTTAATTTTTAATTATTGTCAATACATTTTGAGTAATCTATAATTTTTAAAATCATAACATTTTTAATAATTATCTTAAGAAGCAAGCATTTATTATGTTTATAATATTAAATATCACTAATTTTTAAAATTTTACAAAATATTTAAATTATACTATAAAAAATATAACTATTTTTTCATTATTAAGTAATGTAAAAACTATTAAGCAACCCTTGCATACAGTTATGTAATAAAATTTGTATGAAAAACACTAGATAAATAAAATATTAATCAATATCTTAAAGATATTTGTTAAAGAAACAAAAATAATTATTATTTTAAATATTTAATATATTAAAACACTTATAATTTATATTTTAAATAATTAAGCACTTTATAGAACATATTTAATATATTCTACTCATTCCTTTTCATTTGTTTATTTTAGATTAAAATAAGAAATATAATTAATACTTTTATTTAAATTATTTTTAACTGTATAATATAATACTTACTACAATTTTCCTTTATTTATGACAAATATATAGTGTTTAACAATTTCATAAAGATAAGATATAACTACGAAAATAATTATTAATATTAAAATTTCAAAAGGGTGGGCGACTATTATTTTTAAAGAGTAGATAAATAAAGGAGAAGAGAAGACAATTTCTTAGTCACTATCCTTAACATGACGTATGAAATAATTAAAGTGTTATTAAAGGTGCTTAAGAAATCTTGATTGAGGAATCAATAATAATTTTTTTTATTAAAAATATCTTAAAAGTGCATTAGATATTATGATAAATACATTATTAAATCTTTTAAATAAAATATTACTGTTGATTTGTTAAAATGTGTCGTTAAGACACTGATCGATACTTAATATAACTAAAAATAGTACTTATTTAGCATCAATTTTGTATGATTAATTTGAAGCATTTAGAAGTTGTTTTTTTTATCAAGAAAGATGATAACATAATTTGGATAGCTTTTCGATTAACACTCATAAAATATATAAAAATAAAATAAATAAATTTTTTAAAAGTTAAAATCAGGTTATGTACTTTAATTTTTTTAAATAATAAAACTTCTTCAGAAAGTAAAATATATAAGTTATTATCTCTTGATTTTAAGTTTTTATAAGTATTTATCGACAAATGAATTTAAACTAGAATAATATTTAGAATACTTTTTTATGTAGTAAAATATTTTTAATACAAGTTTATGATTTATAATTAGATAAACTTTTTACTAAAGAACTAAGCTAAAATTTTCCTTAAAAATAGAATATTATGCGATATTTTAAAAAGGCAATGATAAGCTTAGAAATTTTGTGGCTGCAGCTTCTGATAATGATCATTGGTTCACAACATTTCAGCTTAGGTTACGGATAATTACGCCGTGTTGAGGCTATCAACGTTGAATTAAAATGGATGCGAATTATGAAAGACGTGTTGTTTTTTGGTAGTACTAATTTCCCTTTCGGCACGTAAAACATGACGTGATTAGCATTAATTAGAAAATAAATATAAGGTTTAGTTGGTACCAACCACCAATGCAAATGACATGACTCTATTGTTCATATATTACTATCATATTATTTGTTAGTAATATTATTATTTTCATTCATCAAGACAAAGTCAATTCTTCACATAGCATCATCTCATCTCTTAATTTCATTTCATTATCGTTTCATTTTCTAGCGCAGCCAATCGCTTCTTTCTATTCTCTAATTCTATCATCTCAATTTTCATCACCAATAAACAGAACCTATGGCCTTACCACTTTGACACCATATTTGGGTTGGCACCATGGAAACTGGAATAATCCAGGGACCTTGGGGATTTCGCTCTGTTTCCAAATTCGTATTATGCACCATTTCTGGGACCCTCACGCTCTTTTTTGCCATTGGTAATAATCAATATGCATCATGCATGACACATGCCTTTTTGTTTGATTAACTGCTTTATGCGATCAATTCTTTGTTTTGATTATGGGGCGTTGATAAAACAATTCCCCTTGCCTTAAAGTTAGAGTCTTTGTTATTTTTATTTTGATAAATTTTGAAGCCCAAACTGGATGAATTGATGGTAGTGAAATTTATGGTTGGTTTGATTTGATGATTGTTGGTGTGGATGTTGTTGCTTGAAAAGGTGGAGAATTTTAAGGGTTCCTCAGGCTGTGAGGTTTCTTTTATTGGGTTTTTAACCTTGGTGTTAGGATTGGGTTCAAGCAACTAATAATTTTTTATTGAAAACAAAGCAATTATTATACTTTTATATCTTAAATATGATAAATGCTTTGTTTTTCAATAAAAAATTATTATTATTAATTACTTAAACTTAGTTTTTATGGGCTGAGGTTAACAAAATTGTTCTTTTATTGGTCTCATGTCTTGTGTTTTTGGATTGCAGCTGGGGCCCTGACAGGAGCTATAGCCGGTGCTTTAGCAGCTAAAGCTACCAAGAGTGGTCTTCTCCGGGGAGTATCATTGGGTGCCATTGCTGGGGCTATACTCTCAGTGGAGGTGTTGGAAGCTTCCCGTGCCTACTGGTGTATGGAGCAAACTGGCTTGCGGGGCCCGTCATCTATGGTTGGTACTTGGTGTTCATTTTGTTCTTGATTTTCCTGGTCTATTCATTAGTAAAATGGTTTTTAACTTTCAAAATTATGAGGCACAAATATGGTTGCCTTAGTTTGAAATGACTCTGCATGGGAGATATTTATGCCTTGCACTTGTTTGTGCTTGCAAGTTCATTAAGTAGCATATTGAGGGTGTGCTTTCTGATTGGCAGTTTTAATGCATGGTTTTAAAACAATTTTTCAACATTTAAATCCAGGCAGATTTCATAGAGGAACTTGTTCGTGGGAGGCTTGTGGAGGAATCACTTACACCTGCTATTTTAACTGCTTACAATTTGCAGGTATTTTCCTTTCTCTCTTTAGTGCTGTTGTGTTGGTTATGGCCAATTTGAGATGGGCAACTCATAGACTTAAAACTGGTCACCAACTTTTCATTTGCAGTATGAAAGCTTGCAAAATGCCAGCTTTCTTTTTCTTCTGCTATTGGCTATTTTTATGACTTTATTCACTATTCTTGAATTGGAAATGAGCCTCTTTTTCTTTCAATTCACCTGAAATTGATTTTTTCTCGGTTTGATCAGCTTGTAGCAAGCTTATGTAACCTATATCACTTTTGATATATCTTGTTCACCCTGTGAGCTTTTCTTATTAGAATTCCCTTGACCAACATGACAATTTCCTGAGTGACTGAGTCTGGGCTGTTTCAAATTCAATAATTATATCAAGGCTATTTGATAATTCTCACAAATTTGAAGCTAACCTTGCAATGTAGGTTAGATTTTATGGGGCACAAATTTGTACACACCCATGCTGTTTTAATGTGATGCTGTCTAAGGTTGCGCTGCTGCATCCAAGTTGTGTGGCTGTGTAGTGAACTTTGTCAGCTACATATGATGCCCAAAACATGGTGGAGAGGAGAGAAAATTTGAAAAAATAAAATGAAATTACTGAAACATAAAGAATTGTTTAGCTTATAAGTAGTAGAGACTATTTACCAACTAATCACAGGTGCATCTGTAAAACTGTAACTAACTAGATGGTCCAGCTAACTAACCAAACTATGATAATACTACTGCCACTGATGCTGCATATGCACAGAATTATCTTTAATTTGTTTTTTAACAATATATTTTTAGTATGCTAGCAATTGCTTTTGTATGTTAATGATGATGTGTGCCTCTTTTTGGTCCTTGTGTAGTTCTCTCCTCGTTATTCTGTTTCACTCTTGCTGATTTTTGTAAATCCTTATGTAGACCATCTTTATTTTTGTTCTTAACAAGCATGGTTTGCAAGATTTATTTACATATAACTAACAAGAACTTAATAAATCTTTTCTGTGTTGATTGTTTTATACTTTTTTAAGGTATATTACTTCCAGATTTTTACTGTTTAGAAGTCTTGTTGATCTGTGCTTGGATTACATTATCTCGTAGCTTGTAGGAGAATATTTAGTTGTTGACATATGATCAATTATTTTAGTTTGAGCAGGTTGGCATTGCAAATGCAGGCTATGATGAGATTCATGATGTTCATGGCTTAGTGCCATCCAGAGGATTGTCTGGAGATTCATTGAAGAAGTTACCACACCATATGATCTTGAAGGACATGAAGACAGAGAATACTTGCTGTACAATATGTTTGCAGGTGATTGATTATTCTTTTTGAGGATATGTGATTGTCCTAATCTTTTTGTGTGTGTGTGTGTGTGTGTGTGTGAAAATAACTAAATAGAACTAAGACATAAGGAAGATCTAGAAATACTGAGATTAAACCATTCTATGCTGAATTAACTAAAAAATCCTTTACTTTTCTTGCTAGTGATACTCACGAGATTTATCGACCACAAAGAAGCATTTGCTTGCACTAATACTTCCCATAATTCTTCATTATACCCAATTGAATTTCGGATGAAACTGTTCATGTAATGTTCTTAACATTTAGAAGTGAATTTACAGGATATTGAAGTAGGCGAAATTGCAAGAAGCTTACCTCGCTGCCACCATACATTTCACTTGATATGTGTGGATAAATGGCTTGTCAAGAATGATTCGTGCCCTGTGTGCAGACAGAATGTGTGACTTTGATCCTTGGGCATTTTGAGATTATCTTTATGTGCAGATGTATATGTTGTATAATTTGTAGAGCTGACAATGGCATTTTGTACTATTCTGTTCTGTGATGTGATTAAATAAATCTATTTGGTACAAAAGCGAGTGGTCATAACGAATCAGGTTTTGAGAGAGAAAACGGTAAAGTTTGGAAAATAATTGAATAACTCACTTCATTTCTTTCGTAAAAAAATTACTTTCTTTTTCCAATTATGTTAGTTCAATGTATAATATTTTGTATTCCTTTCAAATAATAGTATCTATGACTAACGTGCAAGAACAAGAAATTCTGGTTTAGGAGATATTCGCGCGATTGAAATTGCTGGCGTATGGGTTTGTCAGATCACTTTCTTGATGCTAGACCGATTTAGCTAGGTTAACATGATATAATTATGGCATGAGATTGGCGTACAATCACCATATTTTGAGCCATTATGTCGATCCGAGAAAAATTGTGCAGCTATCAGAACATAGTCCCTAACAATTAGGTTCGTTTTGATACTTAGCACACTGCTCGGAAGTTTCATAGTGATGGTTATGCAAAAAACACTAAGGTGGGATATTTAATAGCCATTGATAAAACATAAAACTTTGCATGTTTAGCATGGATAGTGTGTTGTTAATAGAAGAACTGGGCAGTATAGCAATGAGATTGTCTTTTACGCATCCCTCTAGACCAATAATTTGCTTCATATCTCAAAAGTGTGAAAGTTTACATACACGCGTTCTCTAATTAGAATTTAAACCGGTCATTATTCATCTTTCAAGGGGTCCTTCCTCAATGCATGCCTTATTGACATGTTAGAGCAAGGAAAGAAACAAAATGGCATCAACATGACAAAAAATAGAAAAACATAATGAATTCAGCTGGTTTTCTTCAAACCTTGTATTGATAGAAAGCACAAGTGCTTCACAATATGGTGGAACAGAACTGAAACTGAAAGGTTACAATACAAGCAGATAGAGAGTAAAGGGCCTTTTATCTTGAATTAAACGTGTCCTGATACTCCAAAAGATTATTATACACAAACTACGCATCACAGCAGCAACCTTACTTGGACTTGTTTCTTATAGTTAATTCCAAAGTGGAGCAATTGCCAGAGGTGACAGCAAGCCAGGCAACAATGGTGCCCAATAATAGGCCCTAATTCCTGAACACTGTCTGCCAGATTCAAACAGTGCAAAACCAGCAGTGAGAATTAGATTGAGATCATGCTCAGGAGTCAGGAGAATACCTTTATATTTTGTGTTTCCAACTGAGCATTTTTCGCACAACCAAAAGTAAAATTTCTAGTAGTATTGAGTTTTTATCAGTCATACATGTGGTAATTGAGTTACAAGCATAACATTGTTATACAATAATTTTCACAATGAAACTGACTCGTAAGTCATAAGAAATGTCTGCCATCATTTTACTTGATATTACTTCTCATACTGGCAGTCAATTTTGATGTTTATATTCAACCACCCAAATCAGAAAAATAACATGTCAAAATTTAATGGAGAACCTTTATGGGCAAAAATGCAGCTTACTGGAGCTTACAATGAATAGGATACCATGCAGATGCTTCACACAGCAACAGCTTCAGGTCTTTTGCTGGTTTTGATTCCCCTTATAGCTGCGAGGGAGTTGAAGCCATGAAAATTATCATTGAATTTCTAGGCATTGCAATATATGCCAAATCACATTAAAGAATTTTTTTGTGTACCTTCAGCATAATCTTTAGCTCCAAACACAGCAGAACCAGCAACCAGTGCATTGGCTCCAGCCTCAATCACCTGCCAAACAAGATTATACTAAAAATTGGATCTTACAACTAAATGCCCTTGTTGGAAGCATTCTAATTCAATGAATAAACAAGTACATGCTTCCCCCCTCATTACTTTTTTGTAATTCCTAGTTCTAACCAATATGCGGAATGCCTAGTCAAAATACAGTGGTACATATAAGTTGAAGTGCATGACCAGTTACACATGCCACATCAGTTCTTTCCCAATATTTTATGTTGAGGTCATCCTCTCAAAATAGCAATAATTGAGCACAATCAGATTATGTATAGCACGTAGACGGCTTGTTACGGATCAATCTAAATTATAAATGGATGAAAGATAATATGATTATGGATAGAGGACCTTGTAAGCATTTGCTGGACCAACTCCACCATCTACTTCAATCCATGGATTCACTCCCTGGACAGAGAGAGGGAGAGAAAGAGAATGAAATAAGAGATTATGTAAAACATAATATATATTTATATATATATATATGCATTACCTTTTTTTTTTTAGGGGGTGGGGGTAACAAAAAATAATGGGCAAACAGACACAAATGCAATCACCATACCTTCTCCGCACACATTCTTCTCAAATCAGAAATTTTCTTCACTTGACTCTCAATAAAACTCTGACCACCAAAGCCAGGGTTTACCGACATAATTAAGACCAAATCAACCACTATAAAAAACATAACAAGATCATGAGCTTTTATTTTCAAACTACCAAAACAACTTATAAACTTGAAATTTGATAGATTTAAATATGTTGTGTAGGAAGTTGTTTTGCTCCTTTTACTATCTTAATGAGGAAAACAATGACCATGCATTTCTCATGGATTTTTAAAATAAATAAAGATAAACAAAAATACTCATCTAATTTCCTAATTTATTTTAGCATTTAAGTTTTAAAACAAGAAATTAGCCCATTGACGTTCATCAACTGTTCCCCTGTAAAATAATTTCCTCAAACCACACACCCCCCAAATTTGACATTAAGCTAATTAGAAAATCGTGTAGAACTATATGATTACTATAATTTTTAATTTTCAAATTTTGTTAACTTTCATGGAACATTCAGTGGGCTCATATATGAAAATAAGAAAACAAAAACTCTTGCTTTAAACAAGAAAAACTCCAACTGTTATTCACCCAAAAACTAAAAGAGTGCATTTGAAAGCAAACTAAGTCTGTAACAACCTTAATCGTAGAACTAATATGTTCCACATTGCTATTAAACTTGTTGACAAATTTGTCTACTGTTTAAAATTAATAGCCTTTTCTTTTAAAAGTAGTGTCAAAACACAAACAGTTCCCTATTGTGTCTCTACACTATGACTGCTCAAAATATACTCTTCCATTAAAAAAATTAACAGAATGAAGTAATGGAACTCTTTCGTTTACTGACAGTTTTGTTAACTTTTCTGTTCTAAACCAAGTCCACAGAAGACTAGTATTGGTCCACAGTTAAATCTTAGAAAATCATTTAAAGTATACAGGGAACCCAAGTCATAAACAGGATCATTAATGTTCTTATTATATAATGAAAAGAAATGAGGACAGAAAAAAGGGAGTAAAATTGGCTCACCATCAAGGACATATTCTATTGCACTTAGGGGAGTAGCTGGGTTTAAGACAACTCCAGCTTTAGCACCCAGGCTTTTCACCTAAATCAAGAGAATGAAGTCAAGTCAGATATATTCACCTGAAACATGTTTCAAGGAATAATTTATACTGTCCAGTTCCCTAGATGACTTTTAACATTTTTTAATATAACAATCCATTGTTCTGAAAGAAAAAGCCCAAGTCTGAAATGGATATACTCAAAAGTAAGGCCTCAAATTTCACATCATGGTGTAAACATAGCTTCAGACAAAGGAAAACTTCTGAGACAGTACAAGGCTTCTGAACTCTATTTACTTCTTTAGACACTTAATTGACATGAAGAGGCCGAGTACTCATTAGGAATAAAAAGTAGTCAACTTCATATAGCTCTGGCCATCTAGATAGAGATCAATGCATTCTACTGCATTTTACCATGACCTAAATAATTGTGATTACTAACCCAAACCAACCAAGAAAAGAATAAAAAAGAGAGATGTGGAATGATTTTACCATCACAGGTCCCCAAGCATTCTAAGGTTCAGCTTTTCTGAAATTTGTAAATCATGTAACAGCAAAAAAAAAATATCACCTTAATATGAAAAAGTTTTAGAAAATGCTAAATCCATTCTAAGGTCAATCCTGGTTAAGAATTTCCTTGATATGACATTTGAGTTTATGTTTCTTCAAAGTTTTATAATTTATAAACACTTCCCAAGCTCAAATACATCAAGAAAATGTATGGCAATTTAATATAACAATTTGGTCAAGTAAGTTAATACATTAAATACCACAAGAAATTGCAACGGTCATTTTTAGCCAGTCCTCGGCCTACTTTTGTTAATGCTCTAGTGTCCATCCACAACTGAAGTATAGATACCCTTACTAATTTTAGTAACTACAACACCCCTTCACTGTTATTTAAATCTTAGACTTTAATCTTAGCATCAGTATTATATGTGATGATTAGTGTTTCCTTGACAACAAGATTCTGAAATTCTATGTGATAATTATACGATGGTTGATCAAAGTTGATTCTCTTGGTATCAACTTTCAGTTGCGGCAACACTGTTCAGGAGTTTGACAGCTCAGGAGGAAATCTTACTTGATTAACTGTACGATGCAAATGGATGGTGGACGATTGTTCACAATGAACACTAACTATGTCAGCCCCTGCCTTGATAAAATCTGGCACCCTTTGTTCAGGCTCTACAATCATCTACAGTGCTTTAACAAGAGTCAGAAAAGTACTTATGATTCAATATTAGTTTTATTTAGTATTTGTTTAAAAATTAATACCAAGTGTACATCCAAAGGAAGATCTGTCACAGGGCGCAATGCATCAACCACAAGAGGTCCAATTGTAATATTTGGAACAAAGCGGCCATCCATTACATCAACGTGAATCCAATCACAACCTGCCAACTCCACTGCTTTCACCTAGAGAAGATAACACACAATCTCCAACCATTATGATCCAAAAAATGCTAACAGTGACTTCAAAACAACAGGACAGATTTACTTGCAATTAGTAAACTTGATAAAATGTTTATGAAATATTACACATTGTAAACAATTTGGACCAAAGACCTTTCTGAGTTTCTGTGTAGTAGAAAAATAAAATATTGAATACTGAATTACTCATAACAGAATATAAAGCATGTTATCGAACCTGCTCCCCCAATTTTGAAAAGTTAGCAGAAAGAATGGATGGAGAAACAATGATATCGCTTTTTGAAAACTTGTCAACACGAGATGAAGCCTTCACCGTGGTTGAAATTTTCCTCCTGAATTCACAAAATAGCAAGTAACAAAAGGACATTAAAGCAAACTATCGTATCCTTTTAAACACCACAAGGCACAATCCATATCTAACCCAAAAAAATTATGAAACAAGTCCTGTGTCCATAGTGCTTTTATAGCATATCCAAGAACTGCATTCTGCATAAATACACATCGATCACACAAGTTTACCTTATGAATGAGATTCCCAAACCCCATGAAGATAGGAATGGACAATGTCCAATCTGATAACAAGGCCAAGGGTGCAAACAACCAGAACCATCCATCCAGGTTTAAAACAGCTTAACAAGTTGCCACTGTACTCTCCTCTCAAATGAAGATAACGTGTATTGAAACCATGATAAGATACTCACAATACATAGATGATGGCATGAAGTAAATCATTCAAGTATGCAACTTTTGAATCGGTTAACAACCATCACATAAAGGGGTTTAGAATTTCAATCCAAAACACAATACTTGTAGAGTGAAATCAATGTTCTGGAAAGGAATACCTGGAGAAAGTAATGGAAGGAGGGTGGAAGAGAGAGGTTTTGTGAAGGTAGAATCCATTGATTTGGGATTGGAGGGTTGATGAACACAGGGAAGTTGCAGCCATATTGTTATAGGGCTTCAAGTTTGGAACTTTTTTTCTCTCTGCGCAATCCTCTTCCTCGTCCTTCACAAGTGTATGGTGTGGTCAGTGATGTTAATTATTGAATTGAAAAATATGAAAAGAGAGTAAAATCGGGTGGATGACACGTGTTGCGCTGTTTGGTGGGGATGCGCTTATCTGCAACGGTTGGCGCTCTTCCTCTCTCGCCACCATGTTGCTGACATCTCACACACACATCATGGGAGAAGAAGAGACAGAAGTAAGGGCATTTTCGGTATCTTCCCCATGCTGTAGGTGAGTTCAATGATTTGACTAATCACTCTTCTACCCATTTGATATATAGATCCTATACATTAGATCTTTTACCTCACTAGATTCACTATTAATTTCTCAAAGACTGAGTATTAATTTCTATCATTTATTGTTATATTTATTATTTTTAAATAAAATTATTCTTACTTCAATGATTATATCAGATATTGTTCAGTAATAACATAATTGCCGAGGATTCTGATTTCATAAATAATCCTTCTAAACCATTCAAATTTGTTAAATTAACTATAAATAAATAAATAGTTAATAATAAATAAAAGATTAAACTATAAAATATATATATATATATAAATAGAGATTAAATTACAGTATAAATTATACCAAAATTTACCCTATTTAATATTATCATATAAATTATTTATATAGAATTTTAAATCTATTTAAAATTATTTAATATTTCACTCATGTGTGTTAAAATTAATGTAATGCATATTCTAAAATATATTAAAATAATAATTCTTTATTTATATTCTTTTAATTATTTAATTTAACAAATTTTGACAAGCTTAAAATAAATTTTAATATTGCTTAATAAATAGCATCCAACCTTGCGTATTACTTAATAAAATTAATTAATTATAGTGTATCAAAATTTACTCCATTGAATAACTTATGGTTCCTTAACATCTAAACAATAATTAAAAATTTGACATTTCCTTCATCTACCCAACCCGATTTGCATTAACAAATGTTTGTTTGTCTTTTTTAGAAAAACTTAATTAATTCCTATCGATAAAGGACATGCTTGCCAAACCAAACACACCCCTATATATATATATATATATATATATATATATATATATATATATGCTTTACAGATTCTTTGCCACAGTTGCAAAATACATAGAAATCATTAGCATTTGAAAAGTAAACACTTATCCTCTTCAAATTTTGTTTAGTTGAAACTCTCCCAACTTCATCCTCTAGACCAACAGAAATGGAATTTGAAGGAATATAAAGGGCAAAGCTATTTGATTATTGATCTAAGTGAGTAAGTGGCTCTATAGGTGCTTTAGGAGACATCAACCGTTGTGTTTAGACTCTAAGTGAGGCAAAATAAATTTTCAATGTAATATTTCTTATTATTTGAAAACATTTATATATATTTCATTAAACAATGTGAGTTTTATTTTCTAATCAATGAATTATATTTAATATTTAATAAAATACAAATTATGCATAATTATTACTCAATAATAATAATAACAACTTATACAAGCAAGATTGTATCACATTCTCTAATATTTTTTTATTACCAAATAAAGTTTGTGTAAATTTTTTCTACATATTCTCAAATTCCCTCACTAAAAATGTCACACAGCTTTACTGTCATTTTAAAAGTGTCACGTGATATTTTCATAATTTTTATTTCTAAATTTTATTATTTAATATATTATTAATTATTATAATTATATGTTTCTTAAATTTTAATATTTTAATATTTAAAACCAATTATATACATATATATATATATATGTAGTTACTTTATTTTTAAAAAAATATTATAAGAGATAAAATATTTTATAATAAATAAAAAATTTATTGTCATTTATATATTTGATAAAAAAATTAATACAATATCTATTTATTATTATTTTTACTTTGATATAAATTTTTCTTACAAGTTCTACTAAAAAAATATTGAAATGAAATTTATTTTATTTAATATTTTATATTTAATAATAAGTTAATAATTTGATGAGTTGAAAAAATTTAAATAAATATAAATATTTAATAACTCAATTTAATAAAAAAATATTTTTACAAGAGTAGTTAATGAGTAAAAAATATTATAAATATGTATTTTATTTAATTCAAATTAAAATAAAAATGTTTAAAATATATTTTATGAGACATAAATTATAAAAAAATTATTAGATTTTTTTCGTTATACATAAATATTTTATTAAAAATAAATTTAAAGTACAAAGGGTGCTTTAATTTGTTACAACTCTAAAGTAAATTAATATTACATGTCAATGGATAATTATTTCAATTCATATATACAATCGATCTTTATAAAAGCGCTACAAGTCACTTCCAACAACAATATTTAATAAAATCAAATATTTTACTAGCATTTAACATACTATTATTGAAAACATATTATTTTGCTAAAGTTAAATTATACATACTATCGCAAACCATTTCATTACAATTTTTCTCTATTTCTTTTTCTCACATCAAATTTCATACATGCTTAGTAACATCTCATGCAAATTTATAAGTAAGCATAGACTGACATTAAATTATTCAAATACCATGGAACACAATTTTATAGAAATATCGCAATACAAAAAAAGATGCAATATGTTTTTATCTTCAGTATTACACAATCCACGTTTAGTCAAATTATTTCATACTAAAACTGCATTAAGTAGTAGATGCTAAAGGAACATCACAACCTTTCTCAGTGTATTAACTTTTCAAATCTTGTGTAAGACACTAAATACAACTCTAAATCGCTACCTGCAGTGAAGAAGTGCACAAATATAATTTATTGTATTAATTTTTTTACTAGATTTTAATATAAACTTAAAGCATACATTATGAATCAATTTATTTGTGGAGATAAATAAATATGGTTTATTTTATTAATTTTTTGTTATTTACATTTAGCGATTATTATATTATGAAAAATAAATAAAGTAGGTACAAATAATAAATATGTATTAACCTTTGTAATTCAGTAAAAATAAATATATTATACATTAATTTAATCTTCTAAATATTTAAAATTTAAAAATTGTAAAAATATTCATTCTAATATATTTCTTAATAAAATGACTATTTTAGATGTCACTTAATGATTGTATGTAACCTCATAATTTTGTAATTTCAAAATTAATGTGAAATGATTTTTCCGGTTAAGTGATGCATAATCAAGGGCATCGTATCCAATGCATCTTAATAAGTTTACTTAATGATTTGATGTTAAGATATTTTGCGTTAATTAAAAATATAGTTAAAATATTTCTATTAGATTTTAAATTATATATGACCATTTTTTAAAAGAGAAGTTGATTTAAATTTATTCATATGATATTATAATTTTTAAATTTTAATATTTAACTTGTTTAACTTATAAATATTATATAAAATAACAATTAAATAATTTTTATATTTTTTTTATAAACTAAGAGAACATTTTATACTATTTTACGTGTATAATAATTATCACTAATTTAATAAAATTAATGATTTATTTTAAAAAATGTAAATATATTTAACTTTTAAGATATTAAAAAATTTATGACTATTAATTTAAAGAAATTATATAGTATTTTATTAAATTTATAAATTAAACATTCAAAAATTATATATGGTAAGTAGTTATAAAAAAATAAAATATTTAATTGTACAAATAAATTTAATATGATAAATTAGTGTGATATTGTAGAAATTAAAAAAAGTCGTTTAATATTTAGCCATATATAAATATTTAATCTCAAACACATCATGATTTGATAAGATAACATGCCTTTTCCTCAATTCAGTCAAAATTGGTTTATTTATTATTTTGTACAACGAACGTGACTTGAACTTGCACATCAATTTTGTATTTTGACTATTTTGATTCCAAAGAATAAAAATAGGCTTTATTATTTAAATAATGTAAACTTAAAAACAAATTCTTAATATATAGTTTTTTTAAATAATTTCTTTGTTTGGAGTGTGTCAGTCGACGTGACATTAGTTTTGCTAATGCGATTGACAAAAATATTAAATTTTTATTTTTTTAAAAATAAATTTCGCCACAAAAAATGCGAAATAACCAGATTGTGACATATGTCAACATCTGCAAAATTTTGCAATATGATTAGCAAAATTAAATATTAGTTTCGCCATACAGAGTGCGAAACTCTCAAATCGTGAGACTGTCATGATCTGAGTAAGTTTCGCCATAAAAATTGCACAACTTGCAAGAATCTGACACGTGGCACAATTTTAAGCTATTACTTAAATTTACCTTTATTAATTTTAATAACATAATCAAACCAAATTTGATTTAGATTTAGATGCAAATTATTACCACATTTAAAATAAAAATCAAATTACTAACATTTCATGAAAAAATATTTTTTTTATTTACATATCAATTCAAATTATATCTTAATTAAATAAATTTAAATCACTAACATAATTAAAAATTTTATAATTAGATACCAATTATGATTACATTAAAATTTTTAAAAAATAGTTACATAATACAAGAAAATATTTTTTATATTTACATACAAATTACTATTAATATTTTTAAATTAAATTATTTTAAATTAATAATAAAAATATATTACATATTTATTTTTAAATTTAATATATTTTAGAAATTTTTTAAAAAAATATTACAATTATTAACCATAAATATTTTATTATATTAATTAAATTATAAAATATAAGATTAAAATCAATATAAAATACAAAAATATTTCATGTGCAAAAAATATTTAACATGATAATAAAAAATCAATGCTTAAAATTACCCTTATTCAAAAATACTTCTGCAAACATCCTCATTTAATATTATTTTAAAAAGCATTTCTATTTAAAAATTAGTATTTACAAATTATATAAAATATATGATAAATATTAATATTGATAAAAAATAATTTTAACATTTTAAATCAATTTTAAAATAAGATTAAAAATATTTTTTTTACTTTAAATAAAATTTAACACTGAAATGTATGGGCATAGATATTTTTAATTTTTAGATTAACATTATTTTTTGTATATTTCAAAAAAATTATATAACATAAAAAATATATTATTTGATATGATCAATAATAATTGTTATATTATGTTGTATTGGGAAATTTTATTTTTTAAAAATAATATAATATCTTACAATAGTACAATAACATGTTGTTAAATTATAATATAATCATGATATTTTATAAATCTATTATTATTATATGAGATCGGTAACATTTATAAAACTATAATACTAGTTTTTACTATATAATGTAATAATTTTAATTATGTTAGTAATTTAAATTTATTTAATTAATATGTAAATAAAAAAATATTTTTTAGTGGAATGTTAGTAATTTGATTCTTATTTTAAATGTAGTAATAATTTGCATCTAAATCTAAATCAGATTTAGTTTGATTATGTTATTAAAATTAATAAAGATAAATTTGCATAATAGCTTAAAATTGTGCCACGTGTCAAATTTCTGCAAGTTGTACAATTTTTATGGCAAAACTCACTTAGATCATGACACGTGTCACAATCTGAGAGTTTCTCACTCTGTATGGCGAAACTGGTATTTAGTTTCGCCAATCATATTGCGAAATTTTACAGATGTTGACATATGTCACAATATGGTTATTTCACATTTTTTGTGGTGAAATTTATTTTTAAAAAAATAAAAATTTAATATTTTTGCTAATGCCACGTGGACTGACACATTCCAGACAGAGAAATTGTTTAAAAAAAACTATATATTAAGAATTTATTTTTAAGTTTACATTATTTAAATAAAAAAGTCATAAAAATACGTGAGATCATATATTTCTTCTCAAATGTTAAATGAAAATTTGGTTGGGGTTGTGAATGAATGTTGTTTGCACGTAGAGGGCAATAAATAAGCCTAGAAGAGTGCCACCGACAGAGCATTTTTATATTTATCCATGAATAAAATCATTTTTGAGAAACACTAAGATTATTGTTGCTAAATATTTTAATGAGTACAACGTTATTATTATATTACTAATGTCGATCTCTGGTAAGAGTGTAAGAGATCACATCAGGTGCCAACAGCTTCTTTGTGTCGCCACCACACCAACTCTGTAACACTGTAAGCACTCCCTTCACTTCACTGGGAATTGGTAGGTGCAGTGGATGATGAAGAGGGTGATTACGATTAGGAATGAGGAAAGTGGAAAGAAGGTTTCACTCTCACTCTCACCCTCAGATTTGGACTCCAAATGCACCTTCACTCTCACTTTGATGCGTTTGATGGCCTTCTTCCTCGTTTCTTTCATGCTCTTCTCTGTCATCTTCTCTCTCTCTGTCGTTCTTCGTGACCCTCCTTCCGATGGTGCCTTGCCCACAACACCAACAACCACTTTCTTTCAAACGACATCAACCAAACAAGGTATTTCGTGATTTTTGAAGTTGCATTGCGTTCTTAGTTGCCTTGTCCTTATGATTTGCTCCTGTTTCGAGAGATGAATGATAGATCTTCAAGCAGCAGTTTTTAAGTGAAGTCGTGAAAAAAAAAATCCGTAGATGTTACCGATGAATGGCAGTGTCTAGGAGGCAGAACAAAATTTAATTTTTGTCTTCAAGTAAATCTCCAATGTCATTGCTCATTTTGTGTTGTCTTCAATTTCGAAACTTCTTCCAAAATGGTCTTCCTTGTGAAATTTGCTTTTCCTGGGGACTCATTGTTACGTTATAAAATTCCATGTAGGTTTGGACAGTGATGCCTCTGACTCTATTGAGTTGCTAAATGATAAACTACTCGGTGGTCTTCTAGCGGATGGATTTGATGAAAGATCTTGTCTCAGCAGGTATCAATCAGCCATGTATCACAAAGGACTATCAGAAAAGCCTTCTTCTTATCTCATTTCTAGATTAAAAGAATATGAAGCTCACCATAAAGAGTGTGGACCGTATACTGAGTCCTATAACAACACAGTGAAACAACTCAGGTCTGGTCAATTTACTGAGTCCTCAGCATGTAAATATGTTGTATGGATTTCATTTAGTGGGTTAGGGAATAGGATATTGACCCTTGCTTCTGCATTTCTTTATGCTCTCCTCACAAACCGTGTTCTACTGGTTGATCCTGGAGCGGATATGACTGATCTCTTTTGTGAACCATTTCCAGATGCTTCCTGGTTTCTCCCTACTGATTTTCCTCTCAATGGTCAATTAAATAGTTTCAATCAGAAATCTGATCAATGTTATGGGAAAATGCTGAGAAGTAACTCAATTAGCAACTCAACTGTTCCATCTTTTGTCTACCTTCATCTAGTCCATGATTATGATGATCATGATAAGCTTTTCTTCTGTGATGAAGAGCAACATTTTCTCCAGAAAGTACCTTGGTTAATGATGAAAACAGATAATTACTTTACCCCATCTCTATTCTTGATGCCATCTTTTGAGCAGGAGCTGAATGATCTCTTCCCGAAGAAGGAAGCAGTTTTCCACTTCTTGGGCAGATATCTGTTCCACCCCACAAACAATGTGTGGGGACTTGTTGTCAGATACTATCAAGCTTATCTAGCTAAAGTAGATGAAAGAGTAGGCATACAAATTAGAGTGTTTGACCCAGAGCCTGGTCCATTTCAACATGTATTGGATCAGATCTTAGCTTGTACTTTGAAGGAGAATCTTTTGCCTGATGTTAACCGCCAGCACGATATTATCAGTAATTCATCAAGGGTGCCCAAGTCAAAGGCAGTGTTGATGACATCCTTAAGCTCTGGTTATTTTGAAAAGGTGAGAGACATGTATTGGGAATATCCTACAGCAACAGGAGAAGTTGTTGGTGTTTACCAGCCAAGCCATGAAGAATATCAACAAACACAGAAGCAAATGCACAACCAAAAAGCTTGGGCAGAAATGTATCTGTTAAGCTTAACTGATGTGTTGATTACTAGCTCATGGTCTACTTTTGGCTATGTGGCTCAGGGTCTTGGAGGTTTGAAACCATGGATACTGTACAAACCAGAGAATCGAACGGCGCCGGATCCTCCTTGTCACCGGGCCATGTCAATGGAGCCATGTTTCCATGCTCCTCCCTTCTATGACTGCAAGGCCAAGAGAGGAACTGATACAGGTGCACTTGTTCCACATGTAAGGCACTGTGAGGATATGAGTTGGGGGCTTAAGCTTGTTGACAATAATAGCTAGTTATGATCTATGCAATATGTATGCAATTATGAAAAACTCGCTGAAAGGTGTTGCAAATTTTGTTGTAAAATAGATTGATTAATTTCTCTTAGATGTATATGTAGTTATTCTCCCGAAGAACCATAATGTTAGCTTTACTAATTTAGGATTGTCTTAATGCATAATATTTTAGTATTTATAAACAACTTCGATAACCATTTGTAAGAAATTGACATTACAGTTAGCTAAAGCTTTTGAGCTTGGAATTTTATTTTTCTTTATAAAAAAAGGCATAAAGCATAAACGCATCAAATTTTCAGTCATTGATATTCCAGTAGTAGTGACTTTAATTGTAGGGGGAAAAACCATAAAACATGTCTATTTAATGACTGTTATAACTCTTGTAACATTTTTTTAACTTAATAAAATTTTCAATATAAGTTATCAGAATAAATTATTTTTATCTTATTTAAAAAAAGTATTATCAAAATTTTTTGTGATATAAATTTCAATATAAAAAATAGTTTATAGAACGCTTAATTCTTGAATGCACCAATTTCTAGAGGAGGGTTACTGGAAGTCTCATCCCATCTAAAACTTTTGATTTCTCGTGTTTATGTCTATTCTCTCATTCCAACTGTAGTGAAACCATCGATGAGAATCAAGGAAGGCCCATTGAAGACAAAGACTTGAAGGCATTAGAAGAACTTCAAAGACCAATGACAAGGGCAAGGGCAAAAAGAATAAATGAAGATTTAGAAAAGATTGTTGTTGTCTTATTTGAAAGGGAGCTCAATTTAGAGTTAGAAAAGTCTAAGATAATCAATTACATATGCTTAGAGGATTTGAACTCTAACGAGTTTTATTAGGATTTAATTATTATGTTTAGTTTATTTATTTTAATATTAGTCATTACTTATTTTGAGTTTTTATTTAGGATAAAATCTTATTATTTTATTTAGTCTATTTGAATTTAGGCTTGTTGGTACAAGAAGCCCATTAGGGTTTGCATTAGTATTAGTTTACAAGCATTAGGCATATATAAGCTCTTGTAAACACACTTTTAATTAGTTTTGAATATAATTTGAGATTGAACACTCTTGTGAGAGCGTGTGACTCTAGGTTCTTGAGTGAGTCAATTTTCTTTGATCTTATTAAGAGGCCAAAACTCTTGTGGCGATCGTTTCTTGGCTTATCAATCTTGCGATTGTGGCGCCATTTTCCATCTCTATTCTATTTTTACTTCTTATTAATTTTCTTCTTATTTCAATTCTTATTTGTGCCGTAATAATTTCGTTTTTATTGTGTGAAATCCAATTCAAGATCGTTTAATTCGGCAACACGGTTTGTGGTTGTCATCAATTGGTATCAAGAGCTTTGATTAGAATTAGATTGAAAAGTACTATTCATCGCACGTTGCTCATTGGAAAAAAAAAGAGAAAAAAATATACTACAAAAAAAAAATTGCAACACACAAAAGTGTGTTTTTGATATATTTCTTCCAATCTTTCACTTATTTTGCTTGATTCCATACAAAAAAAAAAATAGTAGTTGTTTAACGTTATATAATCTTCTTTAAATTCTCCAATTTTGTCTTATTTGCAATCTATTTTTTAGTGTGCTTATTTCTTATTTAGTCTTTTTTTTTCTATTGTCTTGTTGGCTTCCTTAGTTTTGTCTTAGAGTTTTCTTTTGTTGGCTTCACTTGAGTCTCATTGATTGATTGTCTCTTGGTTTTGGTTAATTATGTGGATTGGATGTTGACTTCCTTAAGAACTCTTGAGAGCATTTGAGGGGAAAAAGGCAAGAGAGAAACCCTTACACAAAAGCCAATTTAGAGTGAAACACGAGTGAATATCTACTGAGTGAAAACACTTAGCGAGTGGAGAGAACCTTTTCTTTTTGCATTAACTTTTATTGTTTTGTAGAATGTCTCAAGAAGGAGGATCAAGTAGAGAGAGCACTCCTGCCTCGCAAATTGAAAGACTTGCTCAAAGATTTGAAAACATGTTTGAAAGGCAAAACGAAGCAATAAGGAATGTTCAAGAGGCGTTGGCAAATAATGTAAGAAGGCGGTCACGTGATCGTTTTCCACATGTCCATGGAGACTCTAGTAATTCTTCAAGAGAAAGAAGAAGAAATAGGAGAGATGATGAAGAAAGGAGGTATGATAGGTGGAGAGATAATAGAGAGAGGAGGAATCAAAGAAGAAGAAGAGAAGATGTAAGAATAAGAGAAAATGAGAGAATTGGTGGAGTTAAAATAAAAATTCCTAGTTTTCATGGAAGGAATGATGTTGAAGCATACTTAGAGTGGGAATTGAAGATAGAACAAGTATTCTTATGCCATGATTATAGTGAAGAAAAGAAAGTAAATGTGGCTTCCCTAGAGTTTTACGACTACGCGTTGGTGTGGTGGGATCAAATTCAAAGGGACAGAAAGAGATATGATGAGGAGCCTGTAGATACATGGACTGAAATGAAGAACCTAATGCGTAGGAGATTTGTTCCTACATACTACAATAGAGAGCTTCATACAAAGCTTCAAGGTTTGAGGCAAGGTGACAAAAGTGTTGATGACTATTATAAAGAAATGGAAGTTGCCATGATACGAGCTAATGTATTTGAAGAAAGAGAAGCAACAATGGCTCGTTTTTTAAATGGGTTAAACCATGACATCCGTGACATAGTGGAACTTCATCCCTATGTGGAACTTGAAGATTTGGTTCACCAAGCTATTAAAGTAGAAGCACAACTAAAGAGAAATGGTACTTTGAGAAAGAATGTCTCTTCTTACAACTCAAAAGGGTGGAAGGAAGAAGTAAAGAAGGAGGAAATATCAATTAAGGATATAATTGTGCAAAGTGGTAAACCTTCCTCTAAAACTTCTTTTAATTCTACTAATACTTCTGCTTCTCCTACTTCTCAGCATAGAGCAATCAAATGCTTCAAATGTCTTGAAAAGGGTCATATTGCATCCCAATGTCCAAACAAGAAAACCATGATTTTGAGAGAGAATGGTGAGATCTCAAGTGATAGTTCATCTCAATTATCACACGCTTCAAGTGAAGAGGATAGTGAGTTTGAAGCTTTATGCCACGAGGGAGATTTGCTTATTGTAAGGCGTCTCTTGGGTAGTTTAGCTAAGGAGGATGATACCACACAAAGAGAAAATATTTTTCATTCAAGATGTTTGGTACTTGGAAAGGTTTGTTCTCTTATTGTTGATGGTGGTAGTTGTACCAATGTGGCTAGTATTCGACTTATTGAGAAATTGAATCTTACTACTACTCCTCACCCCAAGTCTTATAAGCTACAATGGTTGAGTGATGAAGGGGAGTTGGTTGTTAATAGGCAAGTTTTAATTACTTTTTCTATTGGCAAGTATAAAGATGAAGTCTTGTGTGATGTAGTGCCTATGAAAGCAAGTCATATACTCTTAGGGAGACCTTGGCAGTTTGACAAGAAAGCTATTCATGATGGTCATTCCAACAAGTTCACATTTATACATAGAGGGAGCACAATCACTCTAGTGCCCATGACTCCTAGTCAAGTGTGTGATGATCAAATAGTCATGAGGTTGAAAAGAAAGCAAGAGAGAAAAGATGAAAAGAAAAAGAGTGAGTTTGAGGGGAACCTTAAAAAGAAAGGAGAAAAAGTGAAGACACTTACAAGTGAGGAATATGAGAGTGAAGAGAAAGGTGAAACATTTACAAGTGAGAAATATGATAGTAAAAAGAAAGGTGAAGAAAAAAATCAATATGAAAGGAGAGAAAATTTGTTTGTGAGAGAAAAAGAAGTAAAGAAAGTTTTGTTGGCCTCTCGGCCTATGTGCTTACCTCTGTATAAAGAAAGTCCTCATAATAAATTTATGGATTCCTTTGCTAACGATATTTTGCCTAGTAGTGTTTTCTCTCTTCTACAGGATTTTGAAGATGTCTTCCCTAAAGAAGTATCTTACTGCCTACCTCCAATTAGAAAAATAAAACATCAAATTGAAAAAAAAGTGGGGCAACAAGCAAAGTATATCAATAAGGGAAGGAAGAAAGTAGAATTTGAACCTGGAGATTGGGTTTGGATACATATGTGCAGAAAAAAGTTTCCCATGCAAGGAAATGCAATGCTTCAAACAAGAGGGGATGAATTATTTCAAATCTTAAAAGAGGATTAGAGATAATACATACAAAGTGGACTTATTAGGTAAGTATAGTGTTAATGCTACTTTTAATGTATTTGATTTATCTCTCATTGATGTAGGTAATAAAGAGTCAAATTTGTGGACAAATTTTCTTGAAGAAAGAGGGATTGATGAGAATCAAGGAAGGCCCATTGAAGACAAAAACTTGAAGGCATTGGAAGAGCTTTAAGGACTAATGACAAGGACAAGGGCAAAAAGAATAAATGAAGACTTAGAAAAGATTGTTGTTGTCTTATTTGAAAGAGAGCTCAATTTAGAGTTAGAAAAGTCTAAGATAATCAATTACATATGCTTAGAAGATTTGAACTCTAACGAGTTTTATTAGGATTTAATTATTATGTTTAGTTTATTTATTTTAATATTAGTCATTACTTATTTTGAGTTTTTATTTAGGATAAAATCTTGTTATTTTATTTAGTCTATTTGAATTTAGGCTTGTTGGTACAAGAAGCCCATTAGGGTTTGCATTAGTATTAGTTTACAAGCATTAGGCATATATAAGCTCTTGTAAACACACTTTTAATTAGTTTTGAATATAATTTGAGATTGAACACTCTTGTGAGAGCCTGTGACTCTAGGTTCTTGAGTGAGCCAATTTTCTTTGATCTTATCAAGAGGCCAAAACTCTTGTGGCGATCGTTTCTTGGCTTATCAATCTTGCGATTGTGGCGCCATTTTCCATCTCTATTCTATTTTTACTTCTTATTAATTTTCTTCTTATTTCAATTCTTATTTGTGCCGTAATAATTTCATTTTTATTGTGTGAAATCCAATTCAAGATCGTTTAATTCGACAACACGATTTGTGGTTGTCATCAACCATTTATGACACACATTCA